TCCCTCCCTCCCTCCCTCCCTCCCTCCCTCCCTCCCTCCCTCCCTCCCTCCCTCCTTCCCTCCCTCCCTTTCCCCACTTTATCTGCATCGATCCTCTCTCTCCCTCCACCTCTCCCTCCCTCGCTCACTCTCCTTTCAGGATCGCTTCCCCAACCTCCCCCCTGTTGCGGATCGACTGGCGGCAGAGGCGCAGAAGCTGGTCAACTCACACTCGGAGAGACTCAAGACTCTCGAAACAATGGTGGGGGAGTGGAAGGGATACTCCAAGGTCGGCACCCCTGGCACCTCCTACCCTGGTACCCCTCTCCCTTCCTCTTCCTCTTCCTCTTCTCAACCCCCTCAGGCACTCCGGCCGTCGGCCGCTCTGCTCCAGCGTCGCCTGGTCCTGCAGATGATTCCAAGAGCATGCCGGAGAAGGCAGAGGTAGAGGAGGAGGTCTCCCCTGACCTGCTTGCTCGTTGACCCTGGAGCAGGAGGCCGACTTTGATCTCGAGGAAGAGCTAGACGCGCAGATGGAGGAGGAGGAGGCGCCTGGTGAGCCATTGAAGCTTCTCCCTTGAGTCAGGAGGGGGGCTGACGGACGATGCAGGAGGGGATGAGGAGATGGCGGTGGACGACATGGACAGCGAACTTCACAGTGATATGAACATGTTGGCAGAAGGCATGTCATGTCCAGTGGAATCAGAGGGGTTTTAAATGTCACAGTACGCTTGTAGAATTATTCTTTATCTCACACGACAGGAACGAGATGAACAAATCTCGCCATGTTGAGGGAGCAAACTTCAAGATATCATAAATAAATTTTACTATGAAAGCACCAGATCAACAAAAGAATCATTACAATCACTAAAGTATTTATATCAACACGCCATACACAAAAAGGAAAGTAAGCGTTGCGCATCTCAAATCACAAAATCGCCAGGGGGAAGTGAACAGTTTGATCCCGGGCGAGACAGGAAGTTCTCGAAGAAATTCTGTGCAGACTTGAGGGGAGGAGACTTGATTTTGTCCATGGGGATGGTCGGCGGGGAGGGGCTGGGAATGCCGATCGTCCCATCCGAGCTCGCATCCCCCATTCGTGTGTCTGGTATCATGGGATAATGCCGCAGTGTAGGCGCTGACTGCGTGCGGAAGGCAAAGTTGGAAGAGCATGCCCTGCATTTCTTGGTGGCCGACTCGACCGAGAACCTTCTCTCCCTGGTCTCCATGGTGGGGCGACTACGACGAGAATGAGCAATGAAGCGCTCTAGCACACAAGTTTGCAGACAATGAGGACGATTGACAAGCCGAAAATGCGATCAAACCAGCATCGAAATGTCTGGTCGATGCGATTCAAAGTCCCGGGTAGCACTTGTCTCCTTAAATTCGTGAACGGGTATCCTCCCTTCGGTCAGGTCCTCCCTCGCTGTCCTTAGATCTACTCTCTGCTCTGCGTTCAGCTTCTTTCCTTGTTTTCTTGTTCGTTTTCTTTGCTGAGCTTGTTTTCTTCTCTCCTTCTCTTCTCTTCTCTTCTCTTCTCTTTCTCACTCCTCGACTCGCCTTCCTGTACCCTGCATAGCGCCTGAGTTCACCCCTTGCCTATCTTTATACCCACCCCGACCTAGCCTGCCTACACCTGACCCCACCCTTTCAGATAACTACCCTCTTTTTCCCTTGAGATCACGGGTCAAAGTAGGGTAGGGGGTACGAAACCAAGGCATCAAGCCAAGCTCATTTTGTGCCGTCCCGTGCTACTCACTACAATCACCCCTCTAAACCAGCGTTAAAGTACCCCACCCTTACTTTTCATAAAACACTTGTAGAAGATAATAAAAGTGCATTCTAAAAAAAAGTACCCCACTACCCCACCCCGCGGAGCCACTCGGAGCTTCGAGAGATTCTCCCCCGAGTACCCTACCCTCCTTCTTAGCAATTAGATGTCTCAAAATTAGGGGTACTTTCAAGAAGAGCCACCCCCACCCCCTGAACGAAAAGGAGCAGAGGAACGGCCTCCATGCAATTTTTAATTTCTGTCAGAAATCTGAAATAACATTTTTTCGTCCAAAAGAGGGTTGTATCTTCATTTAAAATAAACATTTACCGGGTGAACTTAGATCGTTTCGTAGAAATATGCCTCCCAAATGTTAAAAATTTGTTTTTGCAAGTTACCCAAAGTGAATGGTTCGTCCGGCAGAGAGGTTTTAAAATACTTGTAATTGCACAGACTGAATCGATGTGATTTGGGAGTTTTTTCTTGTTGGAGGCCGTAAGTCAAATGGTGCGATCTCAGATGAATCTCCTCGTGACTGCCTTATCTTCAATCTGCCAGCCTCATCTCTCTTCTTCGACCTAAGACCTTTGCCTCTCTCACTTAGTCCCTCACTCGAGAAAGTCTCGACCTTCACTCCATCCTGAGTTTCTCAATTGAGTCACTTCAGCTCAGGCAGCGAGTCATCGGGGCTGAGGCCTGAACGTAGTCTGGCGGCAGTCACGGCGCCGGGCGGCCTTCCGGCTGCTCAGTCCCGGGCCCTCCCGGGCCTCCGGAGCCTCCGGGAGTCCGGAGATGCGCAACTTGACATGAGACATCTCAGTATGTACGATGACGGTTCCGATTTATGGCTCCGCCATCGGATGATCGGCCTTGTGACATGGCCGCGACTAAGTCGGAAGGGAAAGCCTCGAAAGAGAAACTGTAGAGGATTTACTGGCTAAGAGAAGAGATGCTCGTTCTGTCGGGTAAGATCAGCAGCAGCAGGAGATACTGAGCAAGTGCCGCACCTTCTTGATCCAGGGATGCCCAGGATTTGAGTCCTTTGCCATCTTGAAGATTTTTCTGCGCAGGAGGAGGATGAGCAGAGGAAGGGCAGGAGGAGGAAAGCAAGGCAAACCTTGCTTCTGCCAGCCGCTGGTCCGAGTGGAGCAGGTAGGCATAGTTGCAAAGCGTCGCCGTCCGGTTGGGCTCAACCTGGAATCTCCAAGTCAGGCGGGAGGTGAGGGAGGGAGGAAGGGTGGAGAGAAAGAGGTATGATGGCAGCATAAGGGAGTAGTGGACCTGCAAGGCCAACTTGTACAACTCCTCTGACTTGGCAAAGTCTCTCTTTCCCACGTGTAGCTGAGCATATCCACACGTCAGTCTCTGTCCTCGCCCTCCCTGCCCCGCGACCTCTCTGCGACCCCTCCCTCCAACCTCCTTCCTTCCCTTGTCTCCTACCATGTAGGCATAGTTGCATAGGCTGCGCGTATGTCTCGGATTGATCGCGAGCGCTTTCCTGAAGCATCTGCAGCAGCAGTCACCATTCCCACCTGCCTCCTCCTCCTCTCCATCTCCAGTGCTCTCTTCCTCTCGAAGTTCGGTCTTCCCTCCTTCGCTCCCTTCTCTTCTCCCTCACCTCTCCGCCCTTTCGTAGTCCCTTGCCTGCTGGTATCGATCCGCCTCCACACAGAGGCGATCAAGCTCCTGGTCAGACAGCGCGTCTGCTGCAACTAGAGTGAGGGAGAGGCACGTCGAAGAGCAGGAGGGCAGTGTGGAGGGGACGAGGCGGGGACGAAGTGGGGAAGGGAGGGGAGACGGGGACGAAGTGGGGGAGGGAGGGGAGACGAACGGTTGGGTAGGGAGGGAGGAAGACCTGGTTTGTATCCCAGATCGTTGTTGGCCTTGTTCAGGCTCCCTCGGTTAGCCGCAGGCCTCTCTTCATACCCCACGTTCTTGATGCAAGAGATGAGAGAGGAGGAGAAAGAGAAGGAGAAGAGAGGAGGAGAGAGGAGAAGAGGGGAGGGGAGGGCTGACCTCGTTGCCTTCCACAGCAGGGAAATCTCTCTGCAGGTAGGTAACCGTCACGGGAGAGGTCACGGGAGGAGAGGAGGAGAATAGAAACTCAAACAAGTGCAGGGGAACGAGAAGGAGGAGGAGGAGGAGGAGGAGGAGGAGACGGAGGAGGAGGATGTCTTCAGAAAAGCGTCGCTCTGGCTGAAAAGGGAGATGAAGCAGGATTGACCTTCACTTGCCGGTCGACGATCTGGTTTTGGACAGGCTTCTCCTCCCTTGGTGCTACGTACGTGTCTCCCGCTACACCATCGTCAGGAGGAGGGAGGAGGGAGGAGGGAGGAGGGAGGAGGGAGGAGGGAGGAGGGAGGAGGGAGGAGCTGAGCAGGCAAGAGAGGGAAAGGGGGCCAGGTGTACTGGAAGGGTGGTGGTAAGGGAAAGGTCGAAGAGGAATATCTTACCAGCCCTTGTCAGGCCGAGGGTTTGCATACCAGCAGTCATCGAGTCTACTTTCTGCTCTAGCGGGTCAGGAGGAGCAGAGGAAGAGAAGCCAGCCACGGGCTGACCTGCTCCCTCTCCTTCTGGTGCCTGAACATGCTCGATTCAAGGATGTCTCTGTTGCAAGGCGGACGCCGTAAGCCTCTTTCAGCTGCCAGGAACGCTCCTTACCTCGCTGTACACCGATCAGCGATCTCCGGCTGACGTCAAAGGGTCACTGAAGGGGCCGCGGGTCTGCCAATGTCACCTGGAGCATCTTTTTGACGAGTTGAATCAGCTCGGAACTTCGGTTTGCCTGTAGTCAACCAGTTATCACTTCCTCCATCCAACCTCTACTCCTCCACCTCCACTCTCCTCTTCCTCACTCGCTCCTTCATCGCTTTCTCCCTTCTTCCCTCTCCTCCCATCTGCTTCCTCCCTCTCTCACTCCTCCTCCTCCTCAGCGCACAATTTCTCACCTGCTCCATCTTGCTCCACATCTCCCGCAGCCTCCCAGGATCTTTGAGCACCTGCAGCGCCACTAGTCAACGTGTCGACCCTCTTCAACAGGACGGACCTGAGCTCCAAGAACTCCCTTGTTCTGACTCAGCAGGCAGCGGCACGAGAGCTCCCATATCATACAGCCCAGGGACCAGATGTCGGACTTGGTATCGTACTTCTCCTTGTACAAGAGCTCCGGCGCCTGCTGGGCTGTCAGAGGAGGGGAGGAAGGAAGCCAGCAGCACCATATAGCACGGCGTTCCCCCGACGATGGTCTGAGCGAACTTTCCATGCATGACCTGAGAGGGTTCGCACGTCAGGAGGGGAAGCAACGTGGCTCAAGGACCTTGGCGATGCCGAAGTCTGCAAGCTTGAGGTTGTCGCCATCTTGCTGCAAGTCAGGCAAGAGACGAGCAGGAGCAGGAGACGCCCGTCGCTACCTATCAGAACGTTGGCAAGTTTGACGTCTCTGCAGGAACAAGTCACATGAAGCTGTGAACATCGTCCCAGGCAAGAGGGATCGATCGAGTACCTGTGGATGATCCTCTTGCCGGCTATGTAATCCAATGCTTTGCAGAGCTGCGATCCACCATGAGCAGGTGGAGGAGGAGGAGCTGGAGTCCACCTGGAGAAGCCATTTGCGTATGGTGTCCTCGGGAATATGCCGCTGCTCCTTGTGCGCTTTTTCGAGGCGGGAGAAGAGATCGCCTGAGAGGAACGAGTGACGCAGAGCAAGAGCAGGACGAGTCAGCAGTGACTTGATGCCTCACCATCGGGAGCATACTGCATGACGAGCACAACATACATCTTCGGCCTTCCTCCTGCTTTCATGACGTAAGAGAAGAGGCCTTGAACCGCTGCTGTCTGGGGCAAGGACAACGATCAAGTACCAGTATCTCCTCTCTCCTGGTGAAGAAAGAAGTCGTAGTATTGGATGACATGGGTGTGATCAAGCTGAGAGAATGATCAGAGACATCTCACAGCCATGACTTGCATGCTGATGGGTCTACCTCCAAGAGCATCTTTCCTTCGGATAGCGCCTGGTTGGCATCATCGAAATTCTCGCACTGCACATCACAACATCATGGCAGGAAGGAGCGAGTGATCATGTCAGGACCGCAATCTTCTTGATCGCTACTGTCTTCCCATCCGCCTTTCTCACTCCCTAAAGGCTCGTCAGCGCTCGATGACCACCCCTATCTTGTTGCACGTACCAGCCATACTGTCGCAAACCCTCCAGAGCTGCGACACGGTGTTAGGATCTAGAGAGTGCGCGCACTTGGTCTTCTCGTTACCCGAGCTTGCTCTTGATCTGATACTTGTCCATCCTGTGTCCCCAAGGCCTTCCACACTCTCTGCTGTCCAATCTCCCCAGTCCTCAGCTGCTCCTTGATATGGGAGCGAGTGAAGCTGTCATGAACTCATCCTCCAAGAGCCTCGCAACCCCCCTGGAGAGGAACACATGAGTCAGATGCCGCAGAGAGAACACTTGAAGAAACTGTGTGGTCCATTCGACTCTCAACCCGTCCTTCATGCGTTGCTCGTACTGTCGGACTTCCTACTATCAATCACTACATACTTGGATACTCTTGCCTCCTTGCGATCATCACCATCGTCATCATGGCATCGTCTCTTCAACTCGTCGTCAACGACCTCGCTCCTCGCTCCCTCCCTCCCTCCCTCCCCCTCCCTCCCCCTCCCTCCCCTTCCTTCTCTACTGCTCGTTCCCTTTCGTCATCTCGTTCAAAATTACCCGCGTTCAGTTGGATATTTTTGATAGGGTGGGGTGCTACTACCCCTGAGTCAAATATATGGGTGATGGAATATTGATATGGGGGTCCTGAAACAGATCCAAAGGGTGGTCCAGCACAGGAAGCAACATGGAAAATGTGGAATGAAGGATTCGATAGCAGCGCCATGGTCGTCATGGTCCTGTGCGAAGATCCTATGCATCCTGCTCGTGCTGAGTCTGATGATGGTGAAACCCGACCTACATGCTCAACTCTCTTCCTGTCCCTTCCAACGATCCCTGGCAAGGATCCCGTTCCTGATCCTGTTCCTGCAGCAACCGATACACGGAAGCCTGTATCATCGGCAGAGGGGATTGAGCACGAGGAGGAAGATTATTTCACCGCGAGCCATTGGGGAGGAGCAGCTGCTCGTCATATCTGAGGGGTGATCCTGACATGTACGCTGACGGCATGACTGATGGTTTGAATCCTCCTAGGGTCCAGGAGCAGACGCGCGATCCGAGCCTCTACAAGCTTCGTCGATCTGTGTTCTACCGCACTGCAGCTCTGCTTCCTGAGGAGGTGGACCTGAGACAGCTCATGAGTCTCGATGAGTCGCGAATGTCTGCAAAGAACCTCAAGAAGCTGTTGGAGCAGGAAAGCAGGTTCTTCCTCCTCCCCCTCGAAACTCATACATTCCCCCAGGCTCTGCAGGAGGGGAGGAATCCTGTGCAAGCTGAGCTCGTTGGGATCAAGAGAGACTTAGTGAGATCATGTCGTCCTAGCGCTCTTGCTCGCATGACTGAACCTCCAGATCAAACTTGAAAACTTCACGCCGCTGGACGGATGTCGGGTCCAAGAGGAGGGGAAGCATAGCGCGAAGGAGAAAGAGAGAGCCCTCGCAGAGGTCGATGAGCGGCTGCCATCCCTGCCGCTGAACGTAGAGACGCTGATGGGAGATCTTGATGTGAGACGCGGTGGTTGTTTGCCCAGCTCACGTTGCGCCTAGATTGCCATGGAAGCGGCTCCACGGGGAAAGGAGGAGGCGATAGAATGCCTGAACCTCCTCCACAGCTTTTTCACGCTAAAGTTGCAGTGGAACATATCAGATCACCACCACTCCCAGATCCTGACGAGGCAGAACGTGAGCTCCCCCTCCTCCTCCTCCTCCTCCTCCTCCTCTTCCCCGCTCTGACGCTGACTTCTGGTCCTCAAGGACGCGGCCAACGAGAAGTTGTGGGAGGCTGCGTCTGCAGGAGACATGGAACTACTGAAGGAGGCCTTGAAGGAAGGGGCGGATGTGAACGCGAAGAGGGACAGCCAGCTCTTCTGTACCTCCATGCACTTGGCAGCCGCTGGTGGACATACTGACGTTGTGAGTGCGAGCAAGTCAAGAGGAACATCTGACGACCTGGCGTTAGATCGCGCACTTGGCTGAGAGCGGTGCCGTCATTGACATGCCCAACGTAAGAGGAGGGAGGAACGTCTGAGCACGCTCGTCTCACCTTGCTCCTCCTCGCAGTGCCTTGGCTCTACTCCACTCCACTGGGCGGCAGCGTGTGATCGGGAGGAGGCGTGTCAAACGCTCTTGAACCTCGGCTCGAACGCTCGAGTCATTAACTGGTCTCCTCCCTATGCTGCTTCCCTCCTCCCTGACACTGGGCAGGCATGGGTTGACCCCGGCCGATCGCGCCAAGGCGGCTGGGAGCAGGAGGACGTCCTGGTTGCTGAGGAGGGTAAGAAGAGCCGCCCAGCAGGGGGGCGGAGGAGGTGGAACTAAACGTGCTGCAGGCACATGGAGGAGGAGCTAGATGGTCGATCAGCGCGGGGGAGCCAAGGGATACTCCTGATATGCGTTTGTTTGAAGGCAATCAGGGATGACGGAGATGTCTGTGATAAGTACGATCTATGTCTGTAATAAAGAACAATCAACATGTCTGATAAAGAATAATCAACATGTCTGATAAAGAATAATCAACATGTCTGATAAAGAACAATCAACATGTCTGATAAAGAACAATCAACATGTCTGATAAAGAATAATCAACATGTCTGATAAAGAATAATCAACATGTCTGATAAAGAATAATCTCCAGTCATCCCCCTCTCCACACCAAGAATCAACAAGAGCCTTCCTCACACCTTAAATGCTGGGATACCGCGAAAGAGCCACAACACTGCCTGGTCTAGTCTAGAAACATCGTCCTCGGGAGTTTCCACCGAGTTCAACCTGCTCTCCAGCTCGCTGAGCCCAGAGCTCGACTGCTCTTTGAAGATGTCGAACTTAGTCAGGTCCTCCCTCAGCCTCCGAGCAGTGAACGGCAGCATGGTCTTAATCATGACGCGGTCGTACCCGAGGAACATCAGAATTCGTTTCACAGCGACAAGATGCTTGTCGGACAGAGAGATGTTCTTCTCCATCTGGCAGAGAATCCTGTAGCCCAGCCGGAGAGCAGGGTAGGACTCCTTCCGCAGCCCCTGATCCGACCAGTTCATGGCCTCGGGGAAGACCTGAGCTGGGTCGTAGAGCCCCCCCGCAAACATCATCTGCTCTACCAGCAGCTCGTCGGCTATGAGCTCGTCCGACAGGTCCGACGTCTCGTCTCCCTCATCCGGCCCCTTCTTGATCAGCATGACAGCCATGGCGCGCTGGAACTCGCTGAAGTTGATCGTCCCCGACCCGTCCGTGTCCATGACCGCCATCATCTCGTCCACCTCCTCCTTGGGCACCTCCAGCCCCACATGCACCAGCGCCTCCTCGAACTCCTCACGCTCCAGCTCTCCCGACCCGTCCATGTCGAACGCATTGAAGGCGCTGGAGATCATGGCAGATTGCTCGTCGGTGAGCGCCGCGATCGCTTCTTCGTACTTGAGCTGCTGGCGGTACTTGCCTGAGATTCCCTTGACAGCCTTGTTGCAGATCCAGTTGTAGCCCAGCACAACGGTGATGCGATGCTGAACTTCGATCTCGATGTCGTTGCGAAGCAGCTTGAACTCGGTGAGGATGGGAGTGACTTGGCACTCAGAGATGGTCTTTGCAAACCTCAACGCGCAGTCAGCTTGCACGATGTTGCCGCTGAGGTCCAGGCTCTGCAAGGTCGTGTTCACCTTCAGCATCTCAGTGAATTCTTCTGTCCCGTTGTCCGCTATCGAGTTGTCAGCCAGGTAGCACGCGGTCAGACACGTGTTGCTCCTCAGCATCTGCGCAAGCGCCTTCCCAGCCTCGGACCCGAACACGTTCCCTTCTAGGTTCAAGCTCGTCAGGGTGGGATGGTGGGCGAGGGCTGCAGCGAGAGCAATAGTTCCGCTGTGACCGATGGAGTTCCTGCCGAGGTCGAGGACAGTGAGCGTGCGGTTCCATCGAAGGGTTTCGGCCATCATGTGCCCTCCCTCGTCGTAGATGTAGCAGTTCTTGCACCTGAGCTCCTTGAGGAACGCGTTTCCCTTCTGCTTCGCGTAGTACTGCACCGCATCGATCTCTCTCAACCCCGCCACCTCGAGCTCGTTCAGCATGGAGTCTTTCTTCTTCCGCATGTCCTCGAATCGCCTTCTTGCCGTCTGCAATAGAGTCAGAGGAACAACAAAAGCTGGATTATGAGGACTTGATCCCGCCAGAGAAGGGAAGAGTTGCCGTTCTTTTGTACAATGATTCCGTTCATCTCTCTCAACTCCGCCAGGTACTTGTTGTACTCGCTGTTCACCGAGGAATAGTCTCTCCTCAAGTCCTGCATCTCATCCTTGGCGTCTTGCACCTGCACACCGTCTATCGTCAAGCTCTTTGACAAGAGACTTCAGACCTGTCGACCTGCTCCCAAGCAGAACGCGAGTCCGTCGCCATGCACAGGGAGCTAGCAAGCTTCTGGAAGCCTTCGTCGCCAATGGGGTTGTGACTCAGAGTCAGTCGCGTCAGCTGGGAGTTGTCAAGCAGTGCCTGCAGGCCGTCACGATCACCGCAGCTGATGCAAGAGGCTGCAAGGATACCTCTGAGATGTCAGTAGCATGTAATGGTCCCAGATCGCACAGCGAGAGGTCGAGGCTGGTGAGGACTGAGTTGAACTTGAGAGCGTCATAAACTCTGCCATCTTGTCCGAGCTCTTTGCGATTCGCGAGGGAGAGCTCTCTGTTCACAGCGCGAATGAGGAGCAACATCGATGAACAACGAATATCACGTGAGATAGGACGAGCTTGTTCTTGCCATTTCCAGCACATTCTCGTTGGTTGCCCTTCAAACAGGCGGTCAATACAGGTGGGATGATATCACTCGAGAAAGCAACCTTTGCAAAACATACGCTCTGACAAACATGTTCTTCGCATCGATAGTCCCTTCATCTTAATGTCATGACTTGAACTAGCAAAGTGAGTGCATGACCTGTCTTGATGCCGTACATCACCCTCAAGAACGCGTTGAAGTTGATCCCGTCCTCTCCCTCTGCGAACCCTGAGACGATCGCCTTGGCTGCCCTCAGCGAGATTGGCTCCCCGAATTTCCTAGAGCAGAGCTCGCTCAGCAGATACGAGAAGAGGAGGAAGCGAATTCAACTCACCCAAACAAGCTCATGATCTCCAGACTGTCGAGCTCTCCTGACCCATCAAGATCGTAGTCCACGAACTCCTGAGCATTGCGGAACAGATTAACAACCCCGCCACCATGCGAGCCAGCTTTAACGAGTCACCTTCCAGAAATCAAAGATCTCTTTCTTGGTGAAGACAGAGTACTTGTGAACGTACTGCTCCGCCTGCATGGTATCGATGAGAGGAGCGAGGAGACTCGAGTGACTTGTGCTTCTATCTCAGCTCACTGACAGCTGCATGGCTGCGTTCTTCCCCTCGAACTTTCCACGTCCCTCACCTCGTCGTCTCGCAGCCCTTGCAGACGCTGCCATTTCTTCCACTCCGCCAGGCTCTCCGGGTTGAAGGGAGCCGCCATGGCAGTTGCCGGTAGCAACTCGCAAGGGGATCATATAATTATTAACTTTTTGTATTATCATACAAATTTATGTATAAAATATGATAATTATACATAATTATTAAGAATTCCAACTTTCACCCACAAGGCTACTGAACCAGTTTGTCTCACAGTGGTCGTGCTGAGCTACTGGTGTGGTACAAGTCAAGAGCGAGTCTACTATCATGCTTTTCTCTAAGGGCGGTTGTTTCATATTCTCAACAAGCGGAAGACGATGAAGTCAACCGTTTGAGCCACTCGACGGATTTTTGCAATCGAAACCAGAGGTCGATGAACAACTCCCTCCCTCTATCGGATTTCTGATGATCCTAACTCCCTCAGTGTTCTACTGCTCGAAATTTTTCATGCTGATCTAGACCGCCGACTTCATGAATTGCGACTTTTGTGTTCTCCCCTCACTCACGGTTTCGTCCTCATCTGGCAATTGACAGCTGACCATACGCGATGCGCAGTTTTCCTCCTCGGAAGCATGGCCTCAGAAACGAATGCGATCAGAAGCCTCCGATGACTCGTCGCGCAGTCTAACCCTGAGAAGGCTGAAAGTCTAGACTGGGAGAGAGATCCTACAACAGTACCATAATCCTCGTACCAAAATATCGCATACACTTGCAAACACAAGTCTATCAGCCCGCAAATGATATCTCTCTGTCGCGTCAATCAGCATTTAACTTCTAATCAAGTTTTAATCTGGAACCGTTGTCCTGCACTCCAGAAGGCTAAGTTCGTTCTAGAACAGATCAAGAGGAGCTTGCTTTCACAATCGTGGAATGCTCGAAGATGGAGCGGAGACGGCTTTCTACCTCAGGAGAAGGAGTGAAGGTTGGGTCCCAGATCGAGTCGCAAAGAGGGCCCATGTTGCAGTTCTGGTTGTGGAGGGGAGGAAGGTTTCGAGGAGCCATCAGCTCCGTTTCTCGGAGCTCGTCCAAGTGCTGAACCAAGGCGAACATATCCAAGTGACGCTCTAGATAGTGTACCTGCTAGGATCAAGACGATCAGATTGCCTCTCTCGGACATGAAAGCATGAACAAGAAGAATCGATAGAGACTTGCTACAGTGAGGTATTCTGATTTCTATTTTACACTCACAGCGCTCAATCTAACACTTCCAATTCAAAAAACACCATCGCCATGTAGAACGATCCTATTTGGCAGAATATCATCGAACTGACATCAAGACGATTCAAGGAATGCAAAAGCAATCATCCAATACTCCATGACCAAACGCAACAATAACATTCGGAGAAATCAGTGAATGTACAGAAACATTGTGGTCACGATCTGGGAGTAGCAACAGCTCAATGAATGCAAGGAGAAGCGAAGAAGAGAGGGAGAGAAAGAGAGGGAGAGAAAGAGAGGGAGAGGAAGAGAGGGAGAGAAAGAGAGGGAGAGAAAGAGAGGGAGAGGAAGAGAGGGAGAGGGAGAGAGGGAGAGGAAGAGAGAGAGAGAAAGAGAGGGAGAGGAAGAGAGGGAGAGAAAGAGAGGGAGAGGAAGAGAGAGAGAGGGAGAGAGGGAGAGAAAGAGAGGGAGAGAAAGACAGATGTTTCTTTACTGCAATGCCGGACTGGCCATTGCGCTATAACCGGACGACTCGACGTATCCGTAAATATCCGGGAATCGATCCGACATGTATCCATATCAATATCCGTGAGAGTATCCGAAACTATCCATGAACAGTTTGCGGGGACGAGGGCTGTGATTTTAAAAATAGTTGTTTATATATATTAGTTTTAGAGAAGTTTAAAATTATGCACAAAGAGCCGCAAAAGCGCAAACAGTACAGATATTAAAACATACTTAAAAAGGGGAGAAAATTTTCGAAGATCTGTAGAATAATTCTGTTGATCTATATTGAAAAATCAATAATTTTGTTCCATTTGAAACGTTAAAAACTGTGTTATAATGGTGCATGAGTACTTTGCCTGTACATCATTCAAACATCTGTTCTTATTTTTCAAAATAAAAACAAGCATTTGGAAACTATAATGTTTTAAAAGCGCTTCTTCTTCGTCCGAGACCACCCCACTTGGTTGAATGCACACACACTTCGAGACACCCCCACCCTCTGATGCCACCGAGTACCCTATGTTTATCCCTTAAATGACCCCGTCTATTCAAGTCATGGGGACCCTCTTCATTCCATTGTACCCGTCAGCTCTACCCCTACCCCCCAGGAAGGCCATATAGAAGGTAGCGGAGACCTTAGACGCCTTCATCAGCCATGCTGCGCCGCTGCGCCACGCTGGTCGCGAGAGCGACACCTGCTAGGGGATATCACCAGGTGAGACGATGCAGAGACGAGACGAGGAAAGAGAAGAAGATCAGGCAAGAGGAGACGAGACGAGACGAGACGAGACGAGACGAGACGAGAGGCGAAGCGAACATAAGACAGAAGATGAGGGAAAGGAAAGGAGGGAGGGGAGAGGAAGGGAGGTGAAGGGAAGGGAAGTAAGAAGGTACTTGTAGATGCAAGATACGGAAGAAATGGGCTCATTGTCGTAGACAAAGAGAGATGGAGTGATCGAATACAGTAAGCATGTCGATCTTGTTGTCGATTGGAACATGGAAAACCCGATCGTGATGTAATGGCCATCTGAAGTCTGACGCTTTGTTTGCAGAAAGTGATTGATCATTACGAAAGTCCCAAGAATGTTGGTTCCTTCGACAAGGGGGACAAGGCTGTTGGAACAGGTTCAAAGTCAGCTGTCATGATAAGAGTCCAGTTGACCTTGTGGTGATCAGGCCTTGTTGGAGCGCCCGCGTGCGGTGACGTTATGAAGCTCCAGATCAAGGTCGGAGAGGACGGCAAGATTCAGGATGCAGTCTTCAAGGTGAGAGCAGAGGGGGTGGAGACAACGCTGGAGTTCTGACGATGCTCGCAGACGTTTGGATGTGGTTCTGCCATCGCCAGTAGCTCCGTAGCCACCGAGTGGGTGAAGGGGATGCACATCGACGAGGCGTCCAAGATCAAGAACACGGAGATCGCCAAGCACCTGAGCCTGCCCCCTGTGAAGCTTCACTGCTCTATGCTGGCAGAGGATGCGATCAAGGCCGCGATCAAGGACTATAAGAACAAGAGCCAGCCAGCCGCTGCTAAGGTCGAAGAGGCTCCCAAGCAAGCTGCGTCAACCTCCATGTAAAAATACCGTGTAAAGTGTCTAGTTCGTATACTCATCTCCGAGGCATGGCTGCCGTTTGAGTTGCCTCCCCTGCTTGTGGTTAGTGGCATGTCGTCAGTTTGCAGACGATTGTCTCTGCTGTCCTTTGTTTGGGCAAGCCTGTCTTGATTGCTCGCTAGGATGCTGAAGCAATGAGTGTAATAAAGGAAGAAAATCTATTTTACACGTTGACCATGTTCTGCTGTGCGATCAAAAGCCAACAAGAGCAGAGGCGATGCTGGCAAGCATGCTGTCTTGACGTAGAGCGAAGCACACATCATCCCCTGTGACAGTCTCAACACATGTGGGAGAGTAGACACTGATATCAAGATGATGATGATGATGATGATGATGATGAGAGCGGTTGAGATGGAAGTGTTGAAGATGACACTGTGGACCAACAATGCGTGAAGTATCTCACCTTGAATGTTCACCGCCACCTTGTCGGTTTGCCGCCACCAATCACCCTGTAGAGAGTGAGAGGTCGATAAGGGGAGGAGACGTGAGGAACCTGTGGAGTGAATACCCTTGTCTCCTGCAGGCGGGCACAAGCAGCTGAGAGCTGCGAGGAAGGAGGGTCTTCGAAGTTGAGCTGCCTGCCAAGAGCTTTCAGCTGCTCTTGAATGTTTGCTTGCTAGTCAAGCCACCTGTGTATTTCCACAGTTCGGTCGTGGATGTGCTCTACAGACAGGTTTGTATCGCCCGTTTCCTTCATCTTTGACCATGCGTCAGGGGCGGCAAGACGATTGTGGCTGTCCTGGAGATGGAGGAGGGAGGGAAGGAGAAGAGAGGAGGGGAACAACTGAGGAAGGGGGGAGGAGGAGGGGATATGTGATTTACAAGCTGCACAGCTGAGCAAATCACAATCTTCTCCAGCAGAGAAGACTGCAAACCAAAGTAAGAGGAGGCGACCAAACTGTCTATGCTCACCCCTTGCACGGCAGCGACGTACGGGTTGCTGAACAACTGTTTCACTGCCATCTGAAGGAGAGTCAGAGGGGAGGAAGAAGGAAGTTTGAATACAAATCAAGACCTCGATGTGCTTGAGGGAGACAAAGTCTGACTTGTCTTGCCTGGCGAGCTCGCATGCATATCTGACCTCCAGTAAATCGCAACTCCTCCTCCTCCTCCTCCTCCTCCTCCTCCTCCTCCTCCTCCTCCTCCTCCTCCTCCTCCTCCTCCTCCTCCTCCTCCTCCTCCTCCTCCTCCTCATTCCTTCCTTCCTTCCTACCGGCAGAGTTGCAGTGCCTTGCGGACATCACCCGAGACAGCAGCAACCTAATAATGCAACGTCAGCTGGCTGCTCAACTGTTCTTCCGCTCTCCTGCCGTCGCCATCCTCCCCGCACTCCCCTCCTGCCTCCCCCTCCTCCCTCCTTCATCCTTTGCCACCTTGCGAGAGCACAACTCCACAGCCTTGGCGTCGAAGGCCTCCAGATCAGCGAGACGAGACGAGATGATCTCCTGCATGAAGAAGTGAGGAGCAGGAAGAAAATCGAGCTGAGGAGGGGACCTGGAGCTGCTGATGGTTGTAAGGAGCAAAAGTGATGCGACGAAGGCCTGGCGTGACGTCATCTACAGCAAACGATCCTTGGGGATCAACCTAGACGACTGCACACTCGAGGAAGCATTCTCTCCGGCAGATCCATGGTGTTGGCAACTGACAGGTGTAGAGTGAGCAGAGAGGACCTCTCCTCCTCCTCCTCCACCACCACCACCACCACCACCTCCTCCTCCTCCTCCTCCTTTTCGTCCTCCTCCTCTTCCTCACCTCCTAAAACGATCAACCTTGCGTGCTTGCGCGTCGGCCACTCGAAGAGATTATAGAGGACAGTCTGTTCGCACATCATTGATGAAGTGAACAAGCAAGGCCAGCAGCAGCAGCAGCAGCAGCAGCAGCAGCAGCAGGACCTGCTTTCTTGTGATGAGATAATCGAGCTCATCCACGAGCAAGACGCTAAAACCGAAAGCATCAAGACGCTTTTCTCCTTCTTTTCCTCTCTTTACCAGACTGGTCGGCGCAGGCCCGAGCGAGAACCGAAATAAGAATCAAGAGAGATCGCTGCTTGAACAGGATCTGTCTTCTTCCCTGTCAACCCCTGTGAAAGAAAAGTAGAATGATCGTTATTGTCGTCATCGCATTTTTCATCATCATAATCAGCAGCAGCAGCAGCAGCAGCAGCAGCATAACTATCTCCAAGAAAATCATTTCAATCATCATTCTTTCCACAGTCTCCGATCAGTTTTTCTCCGAACCTGCAAGAGTACGGAGTACAACACGTTGGGCTTGGGGAGTCGTTGCCCGTTGATCTCGATGTAGATGAAGGGTTCAAGAGACTGGAGGAAAGGAGATCACAAGGTCGCATCAGACCATGTCGAACTGCTGACCCCCTTGTCAGATTCAGCTTTCATGTCCTTGATCACTGCATGCACACTTGCTGTCTTTCCTGTCCCTGGAACTCCTAGAAGACTCGTCATTGAAAACACAAGTATAATGCACAACAAGTCAAGCACAAGAAGGGTATCAAATTGAAATCAAGCGCTCAAGACCAACAAGCATGAGATCATTCTGGCAACTTCACCACAACATTCCCACAGTCTTCACAACAAACATCGTCTTCACAACAATCGTTCTCCAACATCGAAACCGTCGTACCCACAATCAGAGTCACCACTGTCAGTCCAGCCCACCTGATATGTATATACATCCACCCGACTTCCCTCGAGCGATCGCGTCCCGCAGAACCTCCTTGATCTCTTCGTGCTCTCCCTCTCTACGTCACACGTCAGCACTGCTCCCTCTGTCCTCCTCACTTGACCGGCAGGGCAGAGACGATGGAGTAGTCGACAACTGAAGCGCTTCATCCGCTCGGGCGAACTTGCACTGTAAAGCACAAGGACAAGTCAACTGCAGAACGAAACATGAAGAGAAGACAAGAAAACAGAAAATGAAGACAAACATCACAGGCAAAAGCTCACAGTGTCTTTCTCTTGGAGAGGAGCTGTTTCGGGTGCTGCTAACGAACCGTTACAACTACAACTCAGCATGCGCCATTATATCATCATGTACCGCATGTCTCTACTAGTGCATTGCTCATGTCATTGTTGTGGGAGAAAGCGAGCAATCTGTCTTTTGTCGACTTGTCCTTTGTAAGTGTGTTTCCTCTCCTTTTCTAACGCAACGTGTCAAAACATGCATGCGGGATGTTGTGCTCAAAAACCTTGACAAGCGAGTCCAGCACAGGCATAAACGATTTTCTCGACAAGTCGTAGTGATACCTTTGTTTCCGTCAAACAAGGTAGATCACATGCTGGATGAGACATCACCGGCAGAAAAAGTTGGTTCCATTCTCCTGCTCCGCGGCAGGAAGCTGTAGATACTCTTGATGTGTGAAGACTAGAACTTTGTTTCGGACCTGTGACAAGTTAACTGTCGCCACAAACCATCGCACGAATACTCACCGAGTTTATCTGAATCTCATCGCTGCTGTTTCCCTCAAACAACTCAAACTTTCCGTGGCATTCCAGTTTCCCGCAATGCAAGTCGGCCGGGCGGTAAAACCTGTACGAGCAGGGCAAGTCAAACAAGTGAAGGTTTGAAGGAAAGCAGACGAGGAAATAAAGTCGTACCAAGTGACCTCAATCCAAGCACTATCGTCATCCGTGTTTTCCCATATGCTGTCAATCCTTCCTACGGGCAAATCTTCCACATTCTTGACGCCCTCGCACCAGAACGTTGCTTTCTCTGCGTAGGTTCTGTCAAGAAAGAACCATGGCAACCATGCATTTCTCACCACCAACGGAGTAAAGAACTCCACCAAGCTTGAAGGACAGGTAGTGAATGTCGCTTCCTCGCCGTTGAACAACTTGACCAACCCAATCCAACTCACCTTGCATACACATCAGAACCCAGGGGATAACGAGCCTCCCATGAATATGATCCATCTCACAACAGAAAATCAACACGGCAAGTGAAAGAGAACAAGCCAGCATGAACACAATCTACAAGATCTCTCGATCTCTTCTTGTTATCAACCATCGCACAACTTCAGCAGCCTTCAGCATCGTCACTCACGACTCTCTGTCGCCGGCATGTTCGCTTTCCCGAATGGGAAGGTGGCGGCGGTGGAAAAGTGAGGGGATGAGGGGGGCTGAATGCCGGGCCCGGCTGGCCCGGCTGCCGGCCCGGCCCGGCCTTCAGTGGGGGGATGAGGGGGTTGCGGTAGGAGTTGCAATGGCAGGAGGTGAAGATGAGGAGGATGAGCAGACAGACAGAAAGAAAGAAAGATGTACAAACTGATAGACTGATAGACTGATAGACTGATAGACTGATAGACTGATAGACTGATAGACTGATAGACTGATAGACTGATAGACTGATAGACTGATAGACTGATAGACTGATAGACTGATAGACTGATAGACTGATAGACTGATAGACTGATAGACTGATAGACTGATAGACTGATAGACTGATAGACTGATAGACTGACAGACTGATAGACTGATAGACTGATAGACTGATAGACTGATAGACTGATAGACTGATAGACTGATAGACAGCAGGCCGAGATCGGAAATGAGGAGATCGGAAGGAGGAAGGAGGAAGAGAGGGGGAAGAGCATGAGCTCATAGAGAGCATGAGCAGCGAAGGATCTCTGCCTCTCCTCACCGATAAGTAAGTTCATGACGTCCCTTCATCTTTGAAGCCGACATCCTCCTGCAGAACAGCTGAAGTCTTGTTCGAGTACCGAGTCTCTGCAAGGTCGGGGAGGGTACTGCGCTCGGCGTTTGCCGTGGAGAGGTTGTTCTTTGTCGCTCCTCCTCTCAGGGTTCTGACTCATCGCACAGGGGGAAAGCAGGATGGTCGCAGGGCCCACGAATCCTCATGGAGATTCTTTCGCCCCGTCAGGTACAGCCGAAGAGTGAAGAGGTCCGACCTAGCAGCTGAAGACTCGAATCTCAGGTCACGGCGATCATCACGACCCTCTGGGCGGTCATGATCGTTGCTGCCCTCTTGACAGCTTACGAGGACAGGTGGCTCCGGCCGAGGTCTACGCAGCGATGTTTGTCGTGCCCCTTACAACATCTGCCAGGTTCTCGTTGAGTCCAAAGAGCGAGACATGTTACGAGGATTTCATGGGGAACAGCATATGCCTAGAGCTCAAGGCTCTCAACTGCACGAGTGGAAGCGAGAAGCAAAGGCAGATCGGGGGGACACTGAGGGGTGTCAAACCTCTCAACACCTTCATCATCCTCCGGGCTCAGCTAGCGACGTCGATGTTCAGCTTTCTTGACCAGTATGCCAGTGCCTCACAGGCTATTGGCTTGTTGTTGACCTGCTTGCTCCAGGTGTGACGGTGTTTTCACCAGTGCGTGTAGCCTAGAGTACTCAGTGACAACCATCGGCCGGTCGGCTGCAACGAACTCCTCATCGGAAAAGCAAGTCATGATTGCGAACATGAACATGACATCGCCCATTCTTTGTTCAACTTCTCCAGAACACTGCCAACCTCTTGATCTATTTGTGCAAGGCTCACCCTTGCTGTATGACGAGTACGACATGTACCTGTCCGACATCAGGATCAATGATCTTCCGGTAAGAAATGATGTCATCATGATTGACCAGCAGTAGTTTCTTAGAGCTGCTTCAGATTTGCGATGTGCTCGGGGAGGACGGAGACATGGAGTTGACTTTCGTGTTCCTCGGCGGATCGTTCATGTTCTTCGAGATCCTGTCAAGACACGTTCTCCTGGTCATGGCCATCGTCTGTTTCATCCTGTGGATTGTAATCCTTCGGGTACCCTCTTGGACGCAACTCAGGGACCACGCTGACTCTGCCTCAGGGGGTGATCCGGTCAAACGGCAGTGTGCTTCCAGAGCAGCGATGGATCTCCGTCGGTTTGTTCGGACTAATTCTGCTCCAAGATCCTTTCCTGCTGCTCAAACTTTATGCTGGAGGGGTACGATGGCGACCTCCTGCTCCTGGGGTGCTCACTGACCTGTTGGCAGGTGGTTGGATTTCTTTCTATATGTTGCTATTCAGCATCTCTGGGCATTTTCCTGGCATTTTGGCTGTGTATGATCCACGGGCTGCAACGGGACAGCAGCGACTACGTGGAGGAATGGGGATTCTATACCTTTAAGGTCTCGTATGGGATCGCGTTTGCCATGGCCACCATCGCCAAGTTGTACATATCGTCCTTCTACTCTCTTTCGTCCTGGCGCTGGCTGCCTGCTGTACATAACAACACTCTCCTCCCCAGCGAAAAACTTGACAAGCTCAGCGAGATGGGGAGGTGAGTTCTCTCAAGGAAGAGGGTGTGTCCTGACGGCTGTCCCAGCTACGCTGTGATCCCCTGGGCATTCCTGTGGTGGGTATGGCTGATATGGTTCCTGAACTTGATGCAGAGGACCTCAGCGAGACTGTCTGCTCTGCCCTACTTGCAGAGTCGCTTCAGGCAGCTTTCGTTCCGCTTCTTTGTCCTGCAGTCTTCCATCATGGCCCCCTACCTCTTCTTCTCCCTCGCTGCGTCCGTGCTCTGGACAGGCGCTTCCTTCCTCGTAGCTACAGTGAACTACAACGGATTTGCGACCGACTTGCTCTTCGAAGTCTACATGATCTTGGTTGCCTACATCTATCTCCCCGTCCACAAGGGCAGCGACAAGATTGGCGGGAGCCGGTGGCTGTATCACCTCATCTACGGCATCGGACGCCATGACAGTGAGATTCAGGACCAGATACACGAGTACCGTGTGGAGGAAGACGAGCAAGTGGGCAAGGGAGATAAGCGCTCGGATATCTTTTGCCTGCAGACAGCTCTGACGTCCGCCAACTTCTCTTGGCAAGCGTACATGACCAGCCCAATCTCAGTCGACGGCTCTTACGGCCTGCAGATACCGGAGGACTTCGAGCTCTGCAAGATCGTCTACAAGCCGGACGTGGACTCTCGTGCGCTGATCTGCAAGGAGATGTTCACGTCGGTGGGAGGGACGAGGAGGTTCGTCGTCGCTTTCAGAGGCAGCAACTCGCTCACCAACGCCATGACGGATCTTGACATGCGGCGGGTGCGAGTGCCGCGGGAGAGGTACACGCCGCATCGAAACCTCGGGGAGATCCTGTCAAGAGCGTTCAGAGGGCTGAAGAAGTCGATCTTACACCCTGTGCATGCTCCCTTCGACGTCCTCGAGCTCGGCGCCAACGCTATCCTTGACTTTCTCGACGGGATCAAGATCCATGCCGGTTTCTGGCAGGCGTACGAGTCGTTTGCTGAGACGCTCCGGGAGGATCTGGCGGCGGCGACCAGCGGGGAGGAGCGCGTGCATATCCTAGTGACAGGGCATAGCCTCGGAGGCGCTTTCGCTCAGCTGCTCGCCATGGACCTGCGGCTGACGCTGCCGGCCGACACTGAAGTCTCCATGTACAGCTTCGGGGCCCCGCGAGTCGGAAACCGTTCATGGGCGAAGCTGTACAACGCGCTAGTGCCGTGCTCCTTCCGGACAGTCCTGCGGAACGACATGATCTCGGCCATGCCGAGCCCTCCGTTCTATATGCATGGCGGGAGGGAGGTTGTCATTGACCCCAAGGGAAACATCAAGTGCGATCCGTCCTTTGTGGAGAAGGTGTTCCGACCCAGCAGAAACTCTCTGGTTGACCACAGGCTGGGCAACTACATCAACGCCCTCCATCGCTGCATAGAAGCGCACGATGCCATCATGGAGGTGTCTGAGGACGCGCTGAGTGTGTGAGAGTGAGAGAGAGCCTGACTGACCGTTTGTAGCATAGAAGCATGTAGCACTTCAAATAGAAGCATGTAGCACTTCAAATAGAAGCATGTAGCACTTCAAATAGAAGCATGTAGCTGTATCGTATTGAACATGCGGCGCCCACCGTTGGCTCCAGCAACTGTCCGCACAGCCTCCTGTGCGCCTCAGAGAGTTGAAGTTTTATTCTTCGGGAGATAGTTTAAGTGAAGTATCGCCGCTGTTGAGTATGAGAGGGTTTCGGTGTTGATTATGGTTTAGGGTGAAGTAGTCAAATGAGATAGGAGATTGCCCAGGCCTTTCAAGTCTTGGTCTCTGTCGTTCGCCGAAGTTGGGGCGGTCGGTGTTGGAGTCAGAATGAACCTGCTGATCGGCCCGCCCGGAAGGGCTGAAGTGAAGGAGAATAGAAAGTACGGTTGATCCACTGGCCCGTTGAGACTACAGAGGCTGGAGACCGGCGAGTAGTCTAGCACTGCTCGTCAGTGTGTTATTTGTACATACTTGATAGCCTAGTAAGTTCCGGTACGCCGGGGTCGGTCCAGGCCGGGCCCGGGCCCCGGCCGCCGGCCGGTACGGTCTGGGGCGGAGCGCATGGGTAAGAGCGGGGATGAGGGGATTGCGCTATTTCTGGCTTTTTCATGCCCAAATGGGAAAGGTGAGCAATGGAAACGCGAGGGAGCGTGGAGAGGAGAATGGATAGAAGAAGATCGAGTGATGGTAAAAGTAGTGGTAGGTTATGGTGCAGGAGCAGGAGCAGGAGCAGGAGCAGGAGCAGGAGCAGGAGGAGAAAGGATGAAGAAGATCGAAAGGAGGTGGTGTGGTGACAGCAGGACAGAAGGATGTTGGCAGGGTTAAAGTTGGAGGAGAGAGGTGCACAGCAAAACAGAGGAGAAGGAAGGAGCTATGATACATGGAAGTATACATGGCCATAGGGATGAAATTAGTGGGAAACAGGCGTGGGGTCGGGGGGAGGGGAAACGATATTTGAGTGTTTGATGATGGACTGACATGCCAATCCAGATGTACCAGTTGAGGGAGTAGGAGGAGAACAATCGCACACGTGTAGAGAGAGAGAAGACTGAAAGCATGCGATCAAGCTTCTTGAACATGTCGGTCGAAGAGATCGATCAATACTTAACCAGCGAAAGCGAGGGTAGAAGCAGCCTCCTTGGAAGGCGAGCCGAACCAGCCAGAGGGTCTCAGGAGGGGTACTCCTTCCTCTCTCGCAGGGTGGAGCCCGTGTACGTGCGAGACAATGTCCGCGCGGAAGTGAGCAACATGTGCGTCCAGTCCAACTTGTTGAGAGCTCCGGTCGAGCCCATGGCGGTGAGTATCAGCGAAGAGCGGAAGGCGCCGGAGGTTCAGCCGCAGGCAACGTCGGAGGAAGTGACGGCAGGCTATGGTGCCTTCCATGTGGGGGGAGAGGTGCATGAAGTTCTCAGTCCCAAGTACAAGAGGATCGAGAAGGTCGCTCTGACCATCGCGACGTGCTGTGCCCTAGTCTTCGTCGGGCTGCTTGCTGACGACATCCGCCAAGGCAAGACCCAGAACGTCGCTACTGCAGCTAGCCCACAGAAGCTCGCACAGATTCCCTCTTCCTGCGGAGGCTTCCTGTGCCCGTACAGCGCATCCTGCTCCAGGAGCGCAATGGAGTGCCCGGAGGGGAACCCGTTCCTGATGCCGGGGAGCGTGTACCGCAAGCTTGTGGACTGCCGTGCTGAGAGTGAGGTCTGTGACTGCGAGCATCATCCGGAGGGATCGTCCTTGTGCTCGGCTCCGAGCGCAGGTCCTGCTGAGTTCAAGCTGGAGGAGGTGAAGGCAGCGGCTGCCGCAGGTGTCCCTTGTTCTCTCTTCCTCTGCCCAAAGAGCTCGCAGTGCGTGAAATCGCCGAGCCTGTGCTCGGAAGGGTCGCCGTTTGCCGACCACTCGTCGCTCTACTGGAAGGAAGCGATGCTGGCGAAGAAGGCCATGGCAGTGCTGGAAGGGGAGGGAAAGCAGGCGGCTGCTTCTGCTCCTCGACCTGCCAAGAAACTTGAGGGCGTCGCGACAACCGTACAGGCGAAGAGGAGAGGAGGACATGTGCCCTCGGCGCAGGCGAAGATCGCAGCGCACGTGAAAGAGGCTGCGGTGAAGAGGCTTGCGAAGAAGGCGGCAGCGGGGAAGGCACGGACGAAGGGAGGAGCGGCGGCAGGGAGCGAGGGGCTGGCGTATCGGGAGGAGAAATCCCTAAGACAATCGATGCAGGAGAGCAATCAGGCGTTGGAGTCAGCACTGAAAGACCATGAGAGCTTCTCTAACTGAATAAATCGCTGAATTTGAATTTACACGCCTCTAGGCAGCTGGAGGGAGGCCAGGAGGTTTTCCTCTTCCTCCTCTCCACTTATAGCCCAGCATCCAGCATGGCCCGTACACGACTTCGGAGGTCCTCCGAGACAGCAGAGGTCTCCTTAAGCTTCGCGCTGATGTTGGCGATGAAGGAGTCCCTGTCAGTACCGTGAGAGGAGGAGGGCAAGGGTGAAGGAGCAGCAGACCTCAGCAGACCCTGCTCGTCCCTGCCAGAGTCTCTCTCGAACGCCTGGATGGGAACGGCTTCTTCCTTCCCATCCTCCTTGAGATCACCGCTGCCACTCCTGCTCCTGCTCCTGCTCCTGCTCCTGCTCCTGCTCCTGCTTCTAATGTCTCTTCTCAAAATCTTGCGTCTCAATCGATCTCTACTCCTGCTCCTGCTCCTGCTCCTCTTCAAACCCCCGCTCCTTCTTTTCCCCCTGCTCCTGCTCCTGCTCCTGCTCCTATGTTTCCTGCTCCTGCTTCTGCTCCTATGTTTCTTGCTCCTACTCCTGTGTCTTCGCCTGCTCCTGCTCCTACTGCTGCTCCTGCTTCCGCTCCTGCTCCTGCTCCTGCTCCTGCTCCTGCTCCTGCTCCTGCTGTCATCTCTGCTGCATACAGTTATGAGCTGAGCATTCGGAGGAAGTGAACCAAACCTTCTCCTCGCCTTCCTGCTGCCAGAAGATTCTCGTCCTCTGTTGAAAAACATCAGAGGAGATGGCGTGTGATAGCAAGGAGAGTGGAGAAGCAGTCAAGTCAACGACCTGCTCCGGCTCCTGCTACTCCGTTGAGCATCGTCTTTGACGCTGCTCCATCGATTGTAAGTACAGTGAAGCTTCAGAAGAGTGTGAGCAAAGAGACTCGCCTCTCGATTTCCCCCTCATCCTTGGCTTCTTCATCGCTGATCGCCCATCATCAGAACACGCAGCAGTGTAAAGTCTCACACTGACACCTTGCTCTGTTTGCATTGGTGTCTTGCCCTGTACCTTCCTCGTCCAGCTGCTTCACTTCCTCATCTCCTTCCTTGCTGCTGGACATGTCGGAATTCGGCGAGCCCGACATGAGTCCGCTGCTTCTCAGCTTCTCCTCGAACTGCTTCGCCATCATCTTCGCTTTCTGCAGCCTCAGCGCTTTCTTTTCAGCTGGCGTCAGGTTTTCCTCCTTCTTTTGCTCGCTCTGCTCATCCTCTTTTTCTCCTGCAGCCCCTTCCTTGTCCACCACAGCCGCTGATGCTGACTGACTTTCGCCACCGAAGCTCGTGATCGCTTCTACTGTCGTGATCTTATGCGGGTCCTCGTCTTGGCTGTCTTGCCTAGTCGGCTGCGAAGCTCCTTCAGTCTTGTTCTTCTCGTTCCCGTTCGTTGACGACAAGCTGCTCTCTGCCATCACGCTTGAAAGTCGATAGCGGTAGTAAGCGTTGTAAGGGTTCCAGGGTAAGAGGAAGTCGAATCGGGGGTCACCTTTCTGTTTCTCCCTCACCTACAACACCAACAGGATCAAGAAGGGAGAGGGAGATGAGGTTTCACCTTAGCCTCGAACTCGATGCCACTCTTCCTGATCCATTCTACCAGCTTCTCTATCGTCTTGTAAATCTCTTCAGGCGGCCTTGAGGGCTCGGTCGGCTTTGAGCTGCTCGCCAGATCGAGTTGACTTTGAGTTGCCGCAGCGCTGGTCGAGCTGGTATGGATGATTGTTTCCGCCGGCTTCTTGCTCGGCTCTTTCGGTTCACCCTTGGCATTCGATTCTTCCTTCTCTTCCCTCTGAGCTCCTGCACTGGAACTCTCACTAACATTCTCGGCATTGGTAACGTCCGACGACACTGACGGGAGAAGGGTCGGCAGTTCAGCCGCTTCAGGACAAACTCGGAGGTAGGAGAGAACAGCCTTGTAGTACTTTTGAAGAGGATTGTCGATCAGCAGGAATTGAAATGCGGGGCTCCCACCATGCTTCACTTTCAACATCGCCTCCATCTTTGTACCCTGCTTGAGAACGAATTTCGCCGTGTGCTCAATGACCTGACAATCATTCAGAGTCTTCCTCAGACATGTACCCAACAAGCATCACAGCCATCATGGAGCTGTGACTGAGCAGCAGGAGGATCTACCTGGTGCTGTTTGTAGGTTCGTGGAAGCATACTACCAGGAGGCAGGTCCGTCAACCAGCCAGCAGCGAACTTGGCGATCTCCTCAGGGACAGGAGTGATGACTTCGGGTTTGGGTTGAGGATCAGAGAAAGAGAAGTGAACTCTTCCGTACTCGTTGCCCTTGCTCTGCGTCCTCTCGGCATCTTGGATCGGTTCAGGCTCCTCCTTCTCGACGACTTTAGGGGTGTCAAAGATTTCACTCCCATCGCCAGGAGGGAGATCTCGATATCTTTCCTCGTCTATCATATCCTCTTCTTCAACCTCCTTTGTGGACAGTGCAGAGATCTTGCTGTTAGACCTGTTGTACAGTCATCACAAGTACACTTCCAGTCGTTAATTCCAAGTCTCACTTTGCAAATAAGTTTCGATCTTCAAGTAACAACCTAGCGTCATATCTATCGATCCAAAGGTTCTCCTCCTTGTTCTCCATCCACAACAGGAGATGCTCTTCCTTCTCGAGTCGCAAGGCTGTTTGTGGATCATCGTAGATGTCGCAACTGACTACATGTAAGTACAGAGCTCCACATATCAGTGGCTCCTGACCTGTACCCTACCACTTGCAAGTCCTCAAACCTCTCCTGTAAGGACATCAGCGACTGCAGTGATTGGAAAAGTTCAGATTTCACCATTGTGTTGATGAGTTGAGATGTCGAACTATGAGAGAACAGGGGAACAGGAGGCTTCGATCGGGATGAGCTCCATCGAGACATGCTGTCCGTCAACAAACAATCAAACAAGTCAACAAGGATCCCTTCCCCCTCAGTGAGCTACTCAACACCGTTACTTGCTCTGCTCTTGCGAGCGGTCTGAGAGATCCAGAGGTGTCCAGAAAGAACCTCCTGACCAGCTTGCAAGTTCGTGAACCAGGGACTGGACCCGCGATCAAGTTGTTTTGTCCTGCCTCGAGACATGATTGAGAAATCATCTCCTGCCTGAACACTTCTCTCCTGCATCAAATCGACCTGAGCATCTACTTCACTGCAGCATCACCCTCCTCCTCCTCCTCCTCCTCCTCCTCCTCCTCCTCCTCCTCCTGTCCGTCAAAAAAGTTCAGATAGCCAAGCATGCTTGAAGCAAGCAGAAGCCCTCATCCCCACTATGACCAGTTTAAGAGCCGGGCTACCATGCCGGGCTACCGTACCGGTTCGCCGCTGAGAGTCCGATACGGTCAGCCGCCCCGTCAAGGTACTCGGATTGACTCGCACTGCAGGCATGCCCAGTGCCGGTCTTGACTGAGCTTGGTCATGGTCACCCCGGTTGAAGGAAAAATCTTCCGGGTGACTCAGCGGCCGCTGTTGACCCGGCCCGCCGCCGCCGGCCCGCCGGTCGGGGTCAATCGATCCAGGCCGGCCTCAGAGTCTTGTAGACTTATCAGACTAGTTGCATTTGTGGTGTCTTGTTAAATATTTCATCGAGTTTTGTTGCTGTCCTTCAATCTTCCATGTTGAGTGAAATTTGGTACCTCCGATGGCGTTCCGTATGACCAAGCATCGCCCAGGCGTGGAGCTTGTGGTGGTGTCGGAGATTTAAGGAGGAGGAGGAGGAGGAGGAGGGAACAGACAGCGTCATCTTCAAGTCTCTGTCGGCCTTGACCCTCCACCAGAGATGTTGCTCACTCTGATCTGCTCTCGGCCTGCAGAGATGCTCAAAATTTGAAAAGAATTTGAAAGAGTGTGATGCAAAGATGAAGAACGGGAAGAACCTTGGAATCTTGCTCGACCAGAACAGAGCCATCAAGGGGCTCGTTCCAGGAGGAAGCGCACATGCCTGCGGCAAACTCCTGGTCGGGGATGAGCTGATCAGGGTGGATGGGAGGGGAGTAGGCGGCATGACAGTCAGCGAAGTCACGGAGCTCATTACCAAGGGGATAGAGCAAGAGCCCGTCATGAAGTCCTTCAAGCCTGTTGGCGCCATGTCTCCTTCTGTCGCCCAGCAGAGGTCCGGCAAGCCATGCGGCATCGGACTGACCATCCTTGACGACCCTCCTCATCTCGTCACTTACATCCACCCCAACGGCCCAGCTGCGCGATCTCATGCGATACGTGAAGGCGACTGCCTCGTCGCCATCGACCAGGTTTGTTGCTGATGGAGGAGAAGGAGGGTGAGCGACAGCTTGGCAGGCGTTGGTCGCAGACCTTCCGGTAAGTGAGATAGTGAAGTTCGTTGTCGGGGAGGAGGGCTCGTCGGTAGAGCTGTGGCTAGAGCGAGTCTCGTCCGGGTGCGTATCATACAAGCATCACGAGAAGGCCGAGGAGATCCGTCAAGAGCTGAAGAAACTTGAGAGCCTGCGGAAGGATGGGGTTCTGGACAGCAAGGCTTACAACTCCGGCGTTGAACGGGTAAGTGACCACAATCAGTAGAGGCATGGAGACTGAGGCTGTCAAGTGCTGGAAGGGCTGCTACTCAGTGAGGATAGTGAGAGGGATGGAGTATAGCGGCAGCATGGAGCTCCCGCCGGACCAGCAGTCGTCAGCGATCAGTGAAGGTTGTGCCTGACTCGCTGATAGAAATCCTCGCAGCTGATTGTTGGTACCAGTCGTCCTCGAGTTCTACAGGAAGTCGAGCGACCGAGAGATCTCCGTCGTTCTTCCTCGTCCTGTCCGCGAGCAAAGTCCTGCCGAGGATGCTGCATCGGAAGGATCGGACCGACCGGCTGCAGCTTCAGCGAGGGAGGGGAAGCTGAGCAGGGAGAACAGCCAAGGGGAGGAGCAGGACGAGTCACACGAATCGTCAAGGAACGGACAGGACTGGAGAGAGGAGGAGAGGAACAACCGAATGATTTCGCAGTTCTCCAAGGAGGTGGAAGTAGTTGCCTTCGTCAACTCCGGCAAGCAGCTGGGATTGGTGTTCGATCAGGTAAACGAAGATTGCTATGTGAACATGAAGATTCTCAGCTTGCCCAGGGCTCGAAGTCAAAGAAGATTACCATCAAGGCCTTCGATTCGGAGGGAACAGCTTCTCGAGCCTCCTGCATTCACGTCGGCGATGAGCTCATGGCGGTCGACGGTTCGAGAACTTAGAACTTGTTGACTCGTCAGATAGTGACGGGTTCGCACAGGAGCTAACATCCAGCAGGAAGACCTGGAAGTTGTTTGCTCAAAGATCTTACAGCCGACAAGCAAGCATGTCGAACTTGTTCTGGCTCGTCCTGTCCGTCAGAATCTCCTCTATCGCTACGCTGTGCTCCTCCCTCGTCCCAGTCAAACAGCAGACATGCCGTGCTCCTGCGCTTTCTGCGAGCAGTTCCGTGGGGACTTGAATGTGCCTGAGGACACAAAGAACAAGCAGGTCGACTTGGAGCCGGCCGCAAAGTCCAAGGAGGACAAGGAGCAGAAGCGGCAAGAGCCTTCGGTAAGTTCTGAACTTGTCCTGGGGTGTGAGGTGAGGAAGCGACAGATCGGAGACTTGATGCTCGGGGGACTTATCTCCCTCTTCTCCCCGAGCAAACCCTCGAGAGCGTCCCATGCCAGCAGCTCGGCAGAGGCTGAGAAGAAGTTGGAGAGCTCCTCCCAACTCTCGCCCAGGTGCTGACCGTGCTTGCAGGAGAATCGCGGCCTTGGAAGCCGCAGAGAAACTTCCCCAGCTGCTGGCCAGGAAGGATGTTTGTCTCGGCTGTTTGTTCTTCTCTGATGACACTGACACCTACTTGTTCGACTCAAGGTGATGTCAGAGTCCAGCTGTTGTCCGACTGACTATCAGCAGGTGGAGGACAGTCATCGATGAAGACGACAAGTCCGATTCTCAGTGGCTTTTCGAGTCAGAGGACTCGTGACAATGAAGTTGGTTCAAGAGAGAGAGAGAGAGAGAGAGAGAGAGAGAGAGAGAGAGAGAGAGAGAGGGAGAGGGAGGGAGGGAGGGGGAGAGGGAGGGAGGGAGGGGGAGAGACGACTCGTGCTCAGGAAAGGTTTCTGCACATTGAGAGAAGAGGAGGAGAAAGTCCTATCCTAGCGGAGTATCTGGTCGTGGTGGTGGAGGGGGAATGTCGCTGAAGACTGAGTCATTGCGGTCTCTCAAAGATGAAAGAGGAATTCTCCGCTTGAAGACGATTTCTCTATCAGAGGTGCTGGACATCAATGTCAGTCACGAGAAAGGAACTAATCAGCATGATTGCATTCACCGTGTCTCTCTTGCCTTGTTGTCCACCCCTGTCTTGATTCCTGCTGGTCCAGAAGAACTCACACTGTATGAATCAACCGCCTGCAATAATTCAGACAATCCCTTAAGTTTGATAACATTCAACCTTGAAAGTGAAGATCTCATGGCTCTGATATTTCATGTTTGAGTTGTTTTCTTTCTGGCAAAGCCTTCATTCCCAGCGAGTTGATCATAGAACATTCAGATCAACCTCATCTATGTTGGGTGTGGCAAAGATGTTGGCAGTAGAGAAGATGTCATTTTCCTGAACAGCATTGTCAATCATGTTTCCCCTGACAACGAAAACATGCCTGCAACAGTATCCGAGTTCTTCGAAGCAAGATCGTTTTCTCTCCTCGCCTCAACCAAGTGCCATTTCTTGAATGATCCTGTTACAGATACTTTCATGCAGCTCATTGATTTGCGCACCATTCATACCTGTAACACAAAGCCACTCTTCTCATTCATGTCAAAATATGACGCCCATGAAACTGTGAGATGTTGTTTCGAGATCGATCGATCTCTGATCTGTAAACTGCATCCATGTGATTCCTTGACATGTGAATCTGACTGTACCTGTTGCATCGATCTCTTCCAAAGGTGAATGGAAAGTTGTCGTTCAACCTGATAGCCTGTTTCACTTGGTCAGCTCATTGTGTACAACATCGCCAGTGCAACCTTGTTGTCCCCGCTGCCTTGAAGGAGACAAAATCTCTCCTTCTCGTTCCCCATCCCCTCCATCATCTACAGCCTTGCAAGTGCAATGACAACACCTGCGGGTAATGGAAAATCAGATGCTTCTAAGACGTCACTAAAAAAACCCTCTCTCGTACTCCTCCTCCTCCTTCCCATCCTCCTCCTCCTTCCCATTCTCCTCCTCCTTCCCAATCTCCTCCTCCTGCCCCTCCTCTTAATCTGGTCCAGATGAAAATTTATGAATTCATCTGTAACTGTGTACTTCTCATACTGGATCTTGTTTCGATATAAACTCTGAATCTCATTCCAATCTGTCAGGATTATCAGAGAATAGCAGTATAGCAGGCACTGCTTGTGAGGCTTGTTCCTCCCCTCCCTCCCCCTGCAAGCTTTCAGCATGAATCCTCTCCTCGCTCCATCCCTTCTACCTTGTCTTCCCCTCCCAATCTCTACACGCCTATTTAAACATGACGTTTGCTCCTAAAAAAAAAAGTCAAAGACAAAAAAGCAGTCAACGACGCCATGATCCATGGTGCTTGCATTGCCTTTCGCCGTTTGTCGTTCCCCTAGCAAGCCTCCTCCCCCTCCTCCCCGCACCTCACGGCCGCACATCCGTCCGCTCCTCTTGCTCCTCCTGGGGCTCCTTGCTGTGGTCCACGTAGAGACCTTTGCCGACCTCTCGCAAGTCGATCGATCGCTCAGCCAGTTCGATCGGATCCTGCAGGCCAAGGATGGCAGTGAAGGAGACAGGTTCGGTAGGAGCGTAGCCCTCACGGCAGACCTTGCCTTCATCGGAGCAGATTATGCTCCATGCTCCATGCCACTGGTGGCGGGAGACTGCAACGTTTCAGGACGAGGATCGGGAGCTGTGTATATCTTTGCAAGAGATTATGTGGACGAGTTAGTGGGAGGATACAACGAGACGGGATACCGAGACGGCAGCAGGTGGGCATGGCAGGCGCTCTTGGTCTTGCTCGTCTCACCTCCGGTCCATGTAGGTGGTGGGGTCAGAGAAATCAAATCTTTCCTCCGGACAGAGAGGCGGGTCAGAGGTTTGGCTCAGCTGTTTCCGTGGATGACATGATGAACGTCGTCCTGGTCGGGGCCCCTCTCAAGACAGCTGGCAACGCCTCGGAGTCGGGGGTACGTATACTCAACCTTGTGAGCGCTGTTGACATCATTGCTAGATGGCGTTTGTGTATCAGAAGAACATTGGAGGGGAGGATAACTGGGGTCTTGTCAGTTCTTTCAGTTTAGAGAACACATCGTACACTGTTGAAGGATATGAACACTTTGGGACAAGGTCAGTTGCATTTTTGTTGTTAACCCTTGATGCTGCCATGACAACCAGCGTCGCGATCTCGGGGCGTTACCTCGTGATCGGCTGTCCCCAATGCAACGGAAGAAACGCTCGAGAGTGGTCAGCGGGAATGGCCTTCCTCTTCCGCTGCTCCAGCGTCAATCCTTCCACACACCAGTGTGCAGGATGGGAACTGCTAAAGGTCGATCGCCCTCGCAGGCTACACAGCTGAACCTGCATCAGGAACTTGTGCCTGAGCCGGAAGGAGCCGCAGCTCCGTCGTGGTGCGCCTCCCCTCTGTCAACGACGGGGAAGGCAGGTATTCTGATGTGTGGGGTTGAGGTTGCAGCTGGGGTAACGCTGTAGATGCAGGGGACTGGACGTGCCACAGGGACATGGACAACTTCGGCAACTCTGTGTCGATACTCGGGTCAATTTGAGCGTTAAGAAACTTGGCTGCTCTGATTGAGGTCGCAGTTGCTGCAATGACTTAGGGGAGCTCGCCTGGTCGGATGGTCTCAGTGGACGCGCTGATCCTGTCACTGGGTATGCCTGGTGCAACCTCAAGGATCCTTGTGAGAGCTGGAGGGTTTGGCCGCGTCCTCCTCACCCTTCCGCACTGTCCAGGCTCCCATGCAGTTGTCGCTGTTGGAGCGTACATGGACTCGACCGCTGGTATCTTAGGAGAAGGTTACGACCGGCACAGGTTATCTACCTTGACACAGTTAGTTATCAGCTCAATGGTTGGCTTGTAGGCATGGCAGCGTGTACCTGTACAGCAACAGGGCTGGTGATGATTCTTTCCCTCAGGTCTCAGTCATGGATGCGAAACATTCTCAATGTGCTTGACCTTCTCATGTCTAGACCAAGAACTTGTCCTCCTCTGGCAGGAATGAAAGTGACTACGTCGGACAGTCCCAGGTGCGCGTATCGTCAGCAGCTGTGGGGTGATGGCTGACGATTGTGCAGAAAGTTTCGGCCATGGATGAGATCGAGGACACAATGTTTGGACGAGTAAGAAAACTACAGTCCCCACTCTTTTGTTCTGACCAGAAGCAACACCAGCATGTGTTCCTCGGCCCTTGCTACAATCGTTCAGGGGATCTCAGCGTTTGCCTAACAGTTTCTCGCTCCTCCTGCATCGATCGCAAGTGTTACACTCCTTTGAGGTCCCTCCGATCTTGCAGGATGTTTGCAAAGAATTTGATGATTGTCGTGCAGCCCAGCAACAGGGATCTCGATATGTTATTGCGATTATTCGGAGCACGGTATGCGACAAACAGCACTGAACCTTGCTGTCATGGTAAAGATACCTTCCAGGGTGGAGTGATGAGATTTATCTATTCGAGAGATACCAAGGTTTCGAAACATGATTCGCCCCCTTAGCGTGAAGTTTTTGCAATGGCAGGAGGGTTTGACTCATGGGGCCTTCAAGACAAATACTGCGACGGTATGTCTGTGCTCGGGGGGGGGGGAAGGGGGGGTGGGGTCCAGCAAGGTGAAGGGGAAGGGACTGGCGTCATCCTGACAGCAGTCTGCTGCAGTGTTTATCTCCTGTCCTCTCTCTCCAAACTGCACAGAGCTTTATGCCACTGCAAACTTAAGGGCCAAGTACGAGGTCTTACAGGTCAGACTGTCAATATTCCTTTCCTTACTCTACTTATCGACTTTCTTCTCAGACTCATCTCGGCCCTGGCCTTTCCTCCTCCGAAACTCCGGCCAATCCCAACGGCGATCAAACAAGGACAGACTACGCTTGTCCGGGAGCCGGTTGCCGAGCAAGACTTGCTCGTGATGTGAGATAAAATCTTCCAGATGCCAACGGAGCGATCAAAGCTGGTCCTTGCCTAGAGGTTCAGTGTGTTCCGCGTGCCATGCAGGTGCAGCAGGAGCAGGAAGAATTTGCTCTGACAAGCTGCCAACAGATGAGAGATGCTTTCTTCGGAAGTCCTGTCCACGTGAGTCTTGCCGTCCTGTAATGCTCTAACTTGCCCATCAAGGTTCTAGGAAGCAAAGCCTTGATTGGATCGCATGCCTGGCAGAACCGAGGAGCCGCCTTCATTGTTGTGTAGTGATAGTGCGGCAGCACGTCTGACATGATGATCAGATGAGGAGAGAGCTAGTGAGCGAGCAAGTCGTCTTCGACTTCGCCTGGACCCCATGGACATGCGACACCACTCAGCTTTGAAACTTCTGACACAAAATACAGATGTTTACATCTTTCAGTTCAAAATAAATACACATCGACAAATCGACTGCGTTAACAACTTCAACAAGATAGTACATGGTTTCTTCACTCTGCCGCCGCCTGGCTGCTCACAGGGATCCAGGCGAAACCCATGGAGTTGGCATGGTACGGCACCTCCTCCTTGCTCCTCGAAGAGAAAGATCTACACTGCTCCACACTTCTGCCCTTCGATGTTCCCCCTACTGGAATCCAAGAGAACCCCGTGGCCTCATTCGTGATGACAGCGGAGCTGCTCTTGATCCCCTCCTCCAGCACGACTGCTTGCTTCGCAGCGCCCACTGCGTTGCTCGACGACACGTCACACTCCATGCTAGCTCTTAGCGCGCTACTTCTCAGAGGAGGAGACAGGCTTTCTGATCTCTGATCACGGTCTCTTCTCGCCGCATCGAAACGAGAAATCTCCGCGCAGTTGTGAGGAAAAGGCTGCAGCGATTGGCCACTGATTCCACGGAAAGCGTCGGCGGAACCTGCCACAAGGGCAAAGAAGAACAAGTAGCGGATGCTCAGCATCTCTTAGAAGTAGTGTAGCACGAAATCCCAGCGGACCGGAAGAGAACGGAAGAAGGATGGATGAGAATTAGGAACCGAGACGCTGGCGACGAAGGGCCTCGGGAGGAAGGGCGCAGTGACGGGCGCAAACAGGATCAGGGGATGAGATCACCAGGAAGAGCCAAGAATGGATGAGAGAAACAGAGGAAGAGGATGAGATGAGATGCAGGCAGGAAGATGGCTGAAGGAGGAGCGGAAGAGTGAGGGAGGCGGGAAGAGCGCGAGCAGTACCAGGGGAGCGGGAACGGACGAGTGGGAATACCGCAAGGTCTCAATGGATTTTTATGGGGAATGTTCGGACACCCATGGGGAGGGTAGGGGTGATCAGTCCGTTCATGAGTACCCGGTAATTTTCCCCATAAAAGGAGCTAGAGTACCCGGTTCCATGTAACCGAGAAAAAAGATGAAGGGTGGGTGAACTTTGTACTGTCACAGAAAGAAAGGGGTGGGCCCAAAAATAGGTGGCTACAGGTGGGTACTTGGATTAAACTAAGGGGTGTTAAAATAAAGTATAGGTAGGGGGTAGTATATAATTGCTGGATGAGACAGGTGGGTGTAATTCAAAACCTATCATACCGGTACTAGATAGTAAAAATGAGAGGGTACTTGATCCATACATTGCGTATATTTGAAATAGGGTGGGTGCACTTGAAGAATAGAGGCTTGAGATTAAGATGGTGGGTAGACGCATTCTTTAATGGGTGGGGGGTCATGGGTGGGGGTTCCTCCGGACTTGAAAGCCACATGACGAGTCTTATAGAGCGAACTTCGTTAATAATAGATGAAGTTGGTTATTTGATAGCACAAAGGGGTTAAAATGTATTGAAAATAGGTATCATATATCTTATTAGTTCATTTCTTGTCAAATAAGCAACTACTGCTGCACGTGTAAACGAAAGCAAAACAGGTCTTGCTTTAAAATGTATTTAAATAATCGAAAATATATGTTTTCAAAGATTGTTCTAAAGATCAAGACCGTCACAGTCTATTTTAAGAGCCGGATTCGCTGTCTTGAACGAAACATTGAGAAATCAAAACGATTCCTTTGAACCATTTGACCAATGCCCCTGAGTTGACTGATGTTTTGACCACAACTTTGATTGCAGCGCAAACAAACAAGCCCACCGACCCCCTCAGGCCCATTTTCTTTGTAACCGGAAACCGTTACATGAGCAGCAAACCACCCACCCCTTTAAAATCCAACAGACCCACCCCAAATCATTTCAAAGTGGGGAATCCTACCAGAAGTACCCCACCCTTTCTGACGCGGCCAATTGCACCCTACCCCAACGCTAAGGTTTGCAAGAATGCTCCTACAGCCAGGGCATGCTCGCGTGAGGAATTGCAAGAGGGAGGCGGGGCGGGGAAAGAGGGAGAGGCTGAAAAGAGATGCATTTTGATGACGGAGGGAATGAGCGACAACGAGATCAGAGGGATCTTGTGAGTTTCCGGAGGTGCAAGCTGGGATAGTGAATCAAAACCTTAACATGGTACAACCTAGCACTGTCAACAGGTCGATTTCACTGAAGTTAACAGTATGAAACTAGCTAGTTCCATAGCAAGAAAAGATTGGTTCTCTTTCATAACCTTTTGAAAAGAACGTGAGGCCTCTGTTTAATTGGAATGCTGTTCCTGCAAAGTGTCTGAGATGATTGTTTTGTTGCGATGATTCTTTCTTATGAAGGGTGTGAAGAGTAAGGATGCAGGATAAGAAGAATGATACACTTGGAAAATCTACAAAATCAAAGAAATGTGTATGTAATAGCCATTGCATGCAAAACGATCTGGTTTTCGCAAAGGAGAAATTTTCATGCGTTTCGATCAACACACGCGATCAGACTTGTTGAGAAAGCAGCACTAGTTTCCTTAGAAATGGTTGAATTTTTTTCTGGACGAAGGCATGTGTAAGAGTATAGCACAATCAGGCAACGTTGATACATGATGTTATTGTGTTGAGAAAGGAAGCAGCTTCGACGAGTGGTTCTTCAAGACCTGACGTGAAGAGGGAAAACTTCAAGGGTGTCGTTGACTGTGTAGAGATGATGCTAGGGCAAAAAGTTTGAAACAACCTGCAGCTACTTGAAGAAAAGAATGTTCTTTCAAGGAGTTAGGATCAGATTTTAAGATTTATGTTAATAAAAAATAATTCTCTGTCAGAGTTCTAATTGACGCGACCTCACCCTCCCTTTTGTTATTGTGAAGCACGGTAATCTTTCAGCAATTTCCATGCTGAATGATCGGATTCTTGATCATCTACCCCAAGCTGCTTTCTGCTATTCACTTGGTCATCGCCTCGTCCACCGTACATCTTTGTAACTCACCTTTACCGACGGCTGCTCTTTGACTTTGTTTTCGAGTCCGGTTCCGTTGTTGAACACGCCCAACTCTGATACATGAAGTCGTGGGGACATTTAACGTACTTCCCCCACTGTTCGTTGAGAGTGGAAAAGCACTTCTTTCGGGGCCAGAGGTGCTTCACCAGTTCACTGATGCTCTCCGTATCTCTGAACGAGGTGATTTGCCCCTGGTGAGAAGAATAAATCTGATTTGACTTCAACTGCGACAAGTTCATCCCGTTGCAGAACTTGTATAGAGCCACATCATGATTGTCCAGTCCACGAGATTTCTTCCAGAACGCGATGGCCTGGCCAACGTACACATGATTGATCAGCAGGCCTGACCCTCCATTTCCTATCTTTAACACGCAGAAATCCGCGGTTTGGCGGTGGGAAACAGCGGCAGCGCTCTGGGCTGGTGACCTTCTGGCTTCTCCTATGGTGTTCAGAGCCTCTTCGAGCAGCCTGAGGCTCCCGGCGCACATCTTGCAGTCGTCCTCCCACAGTAAAAAAAAAGCCTTGGGGGACCTAGATTGAACAATTTGTGCAGCAGACACAATATCGAGGGTCTGGTTCACCTCCGTCCGCTTGCCGTTCCGCGGGACCCCCCAGGCCGGCAGAGCGTGCTCCTGCAACCTGCCGTACTCGAACCCGTTGAGAACCGACAGACAAGTCATGTTCCGGTACGTTTTTGACAGGTAGGCCGCCGCGTCATTGCGCCCATCCTCTGATGTATCGACAACGTAAATATGAATTTTCCCTTGAAACATGTTAGTTTTGCAGAAGCCTGTCTCGGACAAGATGCTGTTAATTGTTGGTATCAAGTAGTCGGAGGGCCCAGGGTCCTCTCTGAAGTAAAGAACAGAATCCTGCTTCATCGAATGAAACGCCGGAAACGTTGATTTTTCGATAATTCGGCCGTTTTCATGAAAAGCGAAGCACGATTGGCTCGAATTCCTGCATCTTTCGGCCAAATGCTTCACATTACCCGACCACTTGTCAACAACGCTTGCATCCTCCGGCAGGTCAGAGTCGTATAACTTCCAAACGCGGTTCTGGGCGTCAAAGAATGGCTGCGGAAATGCTGATATCCTTTTCTTCGTATAGAATCGCGTCGTCGACGTGTTGCTAAGGTGGATAAGATCTGCTCGCTGCGCACTTCTGTACAGATTTCCGCGGTTGTCAAACCCCGCACACTTCTCGTCTTCCTCGCACGCAACAGAAATCGCCCTTTCCCCTCCTTTGAGTTTGACCTGGCGGTACGACAACTGCTCCCTTGGCACGATCTCGATGTTGTGGAACCACCGCGTCCTCCGAGTACTTCTGACCTCCTGCAAGCCCCCCCCCTCCTCCGGCATCAGGGCAGCTCGCATGTAACGCGGCTTCGACGGCACGAGGATGGCTAGTACCGCATTCTTCTCCGATGGGTTCTCCCGGCACAGATGCAAGGGGACTTGGCCGGGGGAGCAGAAGAGCCCGCGGTCCTCGGGCCTGTCACTCGTCAACACTTCCGATGACGTGAAGCCGTGGAAGCGGTAGGAGGAAGAAAGTTGGAGGTTGGACTGCGGCGTCAAACTGAAGTTGGAGGACTGGGGAAAGCAAGTTCGCTTTTCACCGTCCGCGCACTCTACCCAGGTCTCGGTGCGCTCGGAGAAGAAAGCTTCAGTCGCGTCCATCCTAACCCGGAACTCCACATTCTGTATCCGCTCCACAATGGCAGTAAGAGCCGACACGCCGGACCGGGACGAGTGGACTCGTCTAGTTCGCCGAACTGAAATCCACAGGTGGATCAAGCAAAAGACGAACAGCAGTTTGAAGCCAACTCCGACGAAACCGTTCATTTCGGATCAACTCAGAATCGTGGCGCGGCCTTCAATACATTCTATTTGATGAACCGTCTGCTTCCTTGCACGTTGGTTCAAAGTCTGGCACTGAGCACTTGTGATTTGAAGTTCAGTAAACTGGACATCCAGTGTTACAGGAACAGAAGCACTGAGCGGCAGAGCAACACAAACTTCAAGCTGCACTCTTGAATCGCTCAGTTGCATGCCGCCAGCCGCGTTCGCAGCATCGGCGGCCTTCTTCCCCCCACCGCATGCCAGTGGATTCACCGCCCACCAGGAGCTCAACGTGGACTCAGGGTTGACTAAATTGATCCCCGGGAGTGCGTGAGACGACCCAGGAGGAGGAGGCTGGCGCCGCGTGCCGCTCCCCCTGACCGCACACTGCGACCTGCCATGGGCGGCCACAAGCACTGGGCTAGGGCTGCGAGTAGGTAGGTGTCGCCCATGGCGCTGCATGACTCTGAAGAGGAATCGCCATTTGCCCTTATCTGGCCCGCATGCCGCCCGGCGTACTCAACTGGAAGTTAACACCAACGGTCGAACGTCAGAGGCGGGCCCGCATATTGAGAAGCGGAGTCTGCCACCCGGTGACTCATCAGTCGGACTCCCCGGGACCCGTCGGCCCGGCCGGATAACTTGACGGGCCAGTTCAGTTCAGTGTGGCGCGGGCTGGCCGCCCCCCGTCCGTCACTTGGGGAAAAACATTCTGAACGCGCAGAAGAAGTGATAGGCATTTGATCTTATTACTGCAATCGAGGAATCACACATGTTTACTATGTGTTGTACACGAGGACGATTGTGTGAACACCCCCACCCCCTGAATTCCTATCAGCACGGCCTCCTTCCCCTATTGTACAACTACCCCGGCTGAGTATGCAAACAACCCCAACCTAACATCTACACCTACACCCCACCCTAACGAAAAGCAAATCTATTACCCCTACCCCTCAAAAGTTTGAATATACCCCTCCTTGTGAAACCCTACCCACAAAATATCATAGCAAAGACTATGTATAGGATGGTATCTTCCTGTATTGATCAGTTCTCTACCCCATCAATAGTGATTTACACCCCAACAGCATCTACCCCCACCTGCTAAATTTGACCTTTCCAAACCCATCAGAGTCTCAGAGGGTGGTGAGTAAAGTTCCAATGCAAACGGGTCGTACAAGGGAACCCCTACCCTGAATTCATTCCCCTACTGATTGAATGATTACCCTACCTGGTATTTGTGCTTTGATATCACTCAAAATGACCCCACCTTTTCGTACCTACCTCAAAATTTGAGAGAGAAAATGGAGGTAGGGGTAGAAGGTGAAGGGGTGGGTGTGAAGGGTAGTCACCCCGATCCCGGGTGCAAGAATGGTGTGTGAGGCGGAGCTCTTGTGAAAGCGAGAGAAGGCTGAAGGGAGGAGAAGTTAAGGCGATTGATTGAAGAAGTAGAGAGGATTGAAACCAATGAACAACATCTTGTTATGGATTTGGGTGATGTTTGTTTCGATTCTTACAAGGATACGAGTAAGAGGAGATAAATGAAAACATGATGCTGTTTTCGGGATCGATCAGCTGTTCTTATTTTGTTTGCAGAAAATGGCCTGCTTGCTGTGAGATATATATCGACTCCCCATCAAATTTGATGCATTGTCACTGGTGAGCTATATTCTGGACCAGATACAGATTAGAAAGCATCGTTGCTAAGGTAGTTGCCCTGGATTCAAAGCTGTAAAATGCCTCCAAAACAAGCCGACAACACAAGGAGCAAGCTCGCAGACAAGATTTGGGCTGCCTTGAACTTGAATACAAAGCAAACGAAGGGTGTGGGTGCAGTGCAGGTGCAGAAGGTGACGTGGAGACAGGGGAACACCGGCAAATTATCAACAGGTGATCCGTTCTCTCTATGCGACTTTCATGGTCTTCTTCGATTGCTCCATAACCATGCAAGGAGGGCCAAGACTCCTGGGTTCTTACTGCTGTGACAGAAACGGCTCTTGCTGCAACTTTCAGTTTCGCTGCTCTTCTTGTAGCAATTCTGTATCAAAACTTCGATGGTAGGAATCTGTTTCTTCGGGCAGGCAGTGAAAGCTGAATTCATAGATGCCATGATCTGGATGGAATGGATTGAGAGTTACAAGGTAGACATAAGGTATGTTCGATACTTTTTCATTCCCTCCTCTACAGATTTTCAATGGCAACGTATCATGGCTGGATTTTTGCGGTTCCTGTATCGTTTGCCATGGTTTCCGGACCTCGCTCGAAAGGTTCGGCATGCTCCTGGTTACGGTGGGTTGACGGTCAAACCCATTCAGGAGCATCAAGGCTGGTGATCAAAGAATACTCAACATGTGCAAGACGGCGTTCGGTTGCTACGCCACCACGATAGTAAGATTTGAAACAACGAGTTCCAAACATCCTCATTCAATTGTTTTCAGTGTACATGCACTTTCCTACAGTTTGGTGGGACGACGACGACAGGGGTATAACCGATTCTGCTCTGAAAAATCTATTCTGAAGTTTTGTCCATAAAAAGGCAATTTTGGGCCAAAATCCGAGTTGGCTTGCTGGTAATTCATGGCTGTCTGTGCTCAGGTTGGGTATGATTCATCATTAGGAACGCATGTCTTCTCAGCTTTCCTGCTCGCCTGGTGGCTTACTTTCTGTAGCCCTTTTGACATATGGTGAAGGAATAGCTGCAGTCTTACAACTTGCAGTGATTATGTTTGTAGGCATAATTCCATGAAGACCCCGTGGTTGATGATCCCAATCAAAGCTTTCGCCACAATCAGTTCGGCACATGCTATCACTTCTTGGGGCATGGAAAAGGCTCTCAATGCAGGTGGGTGTAAGGACTAGCTCGGCGTGCGAGAGATGTTGGTAAGAGTTGGCTCAGAGCACGAAAGGATGAGGAAGTCCGTATGGGCTGCCTTGCTCTGTGGATTCACCTCCGGTTCGTTCGGGTATTTCCGGCGGCAGATGCGCTTGTAAGGGAATGACTGTGAATGTCTGCAGGTGGGTAGTGGTCAGCTATTTCGAGACAGGTGAGTGAGGAGGTAGGTATGCTCGCTTGCTGAGCAGAGATGCAGGGGGTTCTGCCATCGTTGCGAGTGCCCCGACGTGGGCGATGCAGCGAGCCTGGTACTTAGTGTGGGTCTACTATGGTCTCACAGACCCTCATGGCATCTTGCAACACTCGCGCCAAGGTCTGCGTGCATCCTCCGTGTATCCTTGTCGTGATGTGATGCTACAGCTGTTGGCTCGCATCTCCAGGACATCTCGCCCGTCCTCTCTACATTGCTGCTGATGAAGCCGATCTCAAAGAGTGCTGGGAAGGTGGTGGTGGCGACTTGTTGCCTGGGTAACTCGCGTGTCTGTATCTGTCGCTGGTCGCAGCTCTGACTGTGCTTGCTTCCAGTCCTTCAGTTCGCTCTAGACATCTGCTGCTACGATCTCTTGATTCACCTCAACAGAGTAATGCTCTCCTCCTCCGCTCAACCTCCTCCTGTACTAAAGTTCCTGCAGTTTTTTGCAATTTTTTGGAGGACCATTGCCCCGCTGAAGATCGACAGAGTGTATGTCCCGCCAAAATCTGACTAGAGCTTCGTCAGACTCGCTTTAGAGATTCACATCGCGTGTTTCGACGACATGATAATAAATTCTTCCAAGTATCAGTTCCCTCTCAGATCAAACGACAACGGCAGACTTTGACCCTTCTATCTCTCTTCTCCTTCATGGCATCACCTGCAAAATCTTATCTTGCGGTTTGCTCCTCATCCTCATCCTCATCCTCCTCCTGCATCATCGTCTCCCGCTCGCTTCCTTTCCACATTCATCATGATCCCTTCCGACAAACTTTTCCTGGCTACCCCACCCCCTTTTTCAGCATCACCACCGTTTTCAGCACCCCTCCCTTCCCAAAATCCCTATCTACGTCTTCCACTGACATGCAGGGTGAGGAGGGAGGGAGGGGAGGGAACAAGCGCGAGAGGAGCGAGGAGGAGAGTTGATGGACGACAGAACATAGAACACAAGGTCGTTGATCACCGTTGGAGCCCTGAACTTGCTTCCTCGGTTCTGTGAACCATGCTCGAGGGCATTCTTGCTAGCGTAATAGAGCGACTGGCGGGCAAGTATGTTGACGGGATAGACAAGAAGGCGACAGAGTTGTCTGTGTGGAGAGGAGAGATTCTGCTCAAGGATCTTTCTCTGAAGCAAACAGCTCTGGACGACTTTGATCTTCCTGTCACTCTTGTAGCTGGTAAGCTAGAGGAATTGAGGTTGGATATACCATGGAAGAACCTGCGGAGCAAGCCCGTGATAGTAAAGATCAAGGGTTTGAACATGATCCTGTCGCCGAACACAAATCCCAAGATTTCAGCCGAGGAGAAGAAGAGGAGAGAGACGTTGGCGAAGAAAGATGCATTGGCTGAGTTCGACATATCCTTGAAATACGGGTTTGCGCAGTTTGATGAGAAGGTCAGCGAATCCTTCTACTCCAAGCTTATCACCAAGATTGTGGACAATGTTCAGATTCACATATCGCAAATTCATGTCCGGTACGAGGACTCAACTGTGCATGCCTCTCACCCGTTCTGCGCGGGCGTGCTTCTGAACCATCTTTCCATTGAGTCGACGAATTCGACTTGGAAGCCGGCGTTTGTTGAGAACCAAACCTTCTTAAACAAGCTGTGCAACTTGAAAGGGTTCAGTATCTACCTCAACTCGGACGAGAAGATGTTTTGGAATGATGGGATGGATCTACAGGAGTTTCTCGAGGGATTTTCTAGCGTGGTGGACGACATTGACGAACTAGCTGACGATGTTTCTTTCGATACGAAACTTCTGAACTTCATCATCAAACCTGTCGATTCCATCTTTCGCATGAGGTTGAACAAGAGTGATGAGCCAGATGAAGCGCATCCAAAGTACGACGCGATGTGGGAGATCAACAGGTTGGAGCTGAGTATGCAGAAGCAGCAATATCGAGACGTCATCTACACTCTCGAGTACTTCCGTAACTTTGAGAGGATTGCTCGCTACAATCAGTTCAGGCCGCATGTCAGTGTGAAAGAGAGTCCGAAGGAATGGTGGTTGTTTGCCTTCAACTGCATCGCGTGGGAGAGGAACCAGAGAATGCTGAGGTTTGATAAGAACAAAGTTTTCCGCCTGATAGTCAAGTGGCCACGATACGCGTTTCTGTACCGCAGAAGGCTTCTGCAGAACCTTTCAGGACCAGCCATCCAAGAGGAGGAGGTGAAAGAACTGGAGGAACTAGAGGATGTTCTTCCCTTGGACGCCCTTCTCACAGCTCGCAAGGCCGTCATCGCCAAACTTCGGGCCATTCAGGAGGCAGACCAGCAGACCCTTGTCAAAGACTCCAGCAGGCAACCAGCAAGTCTTTACACGAGGGTGTCTGGTTGGATGCCGGGCTTCCTGCGCCGAGAAGATGCAGGGGAAGGCGAGGTGAAGCAGGGGGAGTACCCTCTGACTTTCAGCGCCACTGCCGAGATTATGAACGAGTTTGGGATCTCCGACGAGGGTAGTAGCGAGAATGCATCGACTATCAACGGAGAGGCTGGGAACGAGTCTAGGATCTCGAGGATGCGTCTCGAGTTCATCTTGCGCTTTGGGTCGGTCACCGTCTCCAACCCCAAGTCACCTTTCGACGATGACCGCGGGCAGATCGCGAAGTTCAAGCTGCGGGACTTGGCGATCAATCTCGTACAGAAAGAAACTTCGTTTGCTTGCAGCCTGCAGATTGGAAACCTCTCCTGCTTCGACCTTTGCAGCCCCAACATCGCCTCAGGGTTTGACTGTGTGGTATCGCGGTTCTCCAGCAGGTCGAAACTCTCGCCGAGCAGGCAGAGGTTTGCCTCCAGGATCCTCTTTCCTGCCTCCATCACCAGCTCCGTGTGGGACGTAGCCAAGTCACTGAGCGGAAAGAGTTCCAGCGTCGGCAAGGCTTCTCCCAGCAAGGACGAGGAGCCTCCGCTGCTGGTCCTCAAGTACGAGTCGAACCCGTCGGACGGGGAGGCTTGCGACTCGAGGATGATAGCTATGCTTGATCGCATGACCATCGTCTACAACCCGCCCTTCCTCCGCCATCTCCTTGACTTCCTTGACATCGGGGAATCTCCCGCACTGGAGGCGCTGAAGCGAACGGCAGCGGAGCAACTCCAGCACGCCAAAGAAGTGTCGGAGAAGAACGTCAAGTCAGCGCTGCAGGCTAAGATTGTTGCCGACCTGTCCTTTGACTTGAGAAGCCCTGTCATCATCATCCCTCAGAATGTCGAACATGGCAGGGATGACTGCCCTTCCCTGGTCGTCCAGCCCGGAAACCTCGCCATCTGGTCACTCAAGTCCTCGAACATTTCAAAGCTGTCTCCACTCCTGCAGAAGATGGAGGAGGAGGATGAAGTGGATGAGAGGCTGTACAACAGTATCCTTCTTGAGCTGTCCGAGGTGTACATGATGATCTGTAAGAGGCATCAGTGCTGGGATGCAGCAAAAGATGCTGCTTCTTACAGCAATCTCAGCCTTATCAACAACGTCAGGATCAGTGTCTGCATTGACAACAGCATTGCGCCATCAAATGAGATGCTGACGAGAACCAAGATCAAAGTAGCTCTACCAACCTTCGAGTGCCTTATGTCGCAGCACAAGTATTCGGCGATCTTTGAGATTTGGAATCACGTCTTCGGCTCTCAGGAAGTTGAGGAGCTCGGAACGACTGAGATATCAGGTGGCTGGACTTTCATGTTGATCTCAACATGAGAGGTTCATGTGAAGTTTTGTGACCTGGGCTGTTTGCAGGCATTCAAGAGATGAACACAACAACACAGGACTTCGACGAGGTGGAATTCACAACTGACAGAATCACCTTCGTGCAGGAAGAATGGAGGCATCTGGATGTCAAGGTCCGGATGGCCGATGAGCATCCGATTGCTCTCAGGCTGGTCGAGGAGGAGGACATCGGATCCGGGCAGAAAGCATTCATCGCTCTGTGTCATCTCAGTGAAGTCAACCTATCCTTCGTCCAGTTCTCGGAAGGTTTCTCGTCCTTCGACTTCCAACTCAAGAGGCTGCACGTGAAGATCAAGGAAGAGATCGAGGAAGTGATGTGCTCGGAGGCGGAGAGCCAATTTGCCTTGAGTTACTCGTCGTCCTTTGAGCTGAATCACTCGAGACATGTCATACAGGTCGGGAGGATGAGATTGAATTTTCTTCCTGAGGTCCTCAGCTCCATCATATCTGTGTTCCGAACTTCGAGCAACACGGCTGCTGAGGCTGAGACTAAGTCAGCTGACGACAGGAGCATCACGTCGTCTAGCATAGGGCAGGGTGAGATGAGGCGGAAATCAGAGCAGAGGAACGCGGCAGTTCAGGATGATCACATCACTGAATACCATGTTTTCCTTGAGGAGCAAAAGGTGGTCTTCTTCGAAGATGTCGCAAAACCGTCTGGAAGAAAAGTCGTCGTCACGGTAAACCACTCGCATCTTCAACCTCCCATCTACCGTCTCTCGCCCTCTGTTTCTGATCTCTCACCCTTCTTTCACCTGGCTCACACCCGCTCAGGTCTCGGGGCTGATCAAGGACATGAGCAAACCAGCAGGTTACCGGAAAGGTTTCCTCCACTTGCAGGACGTCCAGACTTTTCTGGAGCAAGGGGGGGAGCACGAGGAGAGGAGGCACGCGCTGCATCCGACCAGCCTGTCCCTTGAGTACATCTTCGAAGGAGAGAAGAGCTCGAAGATGTGGATGGTAGGAAGTTGCTTCGACCTCTTGATCTCGTACCAGGACGTTCTTCTCTATATGGACCTTCAGGAGAGGGTTCTGCGGCCATTCTCTTCTCCTTCTGCAGCAGAGGGGGGGGGGAGTGGCAAAGGAGAGGATGGAAAGGAGCGAAGCAGACATGGCTCGGGGGAGTTGGAGGAGGTTAGGATCAATGAACAGGACAGAGAGGAAGATCAAGCTCTTCAGACGCAGAAGCAGTTTCGAGTTGACTTCGACTCTCTGAACATCGTCATCATCAACGACTGCGCGGGCTTCAACGAACCTTTCCTCTCTCTCTCCCTCGCTGAGATCCAAGGGATGAACGTAAGGCATTCTCAAACAAACGAGTGTGCAAGTGATGGGATGCAAACAGGTCAACGCGTTCGACGGGGAAACATGGGGTATGCTACAGCTAAGGATAAAGGCCTCGCTCTTCAACAGCACCGTCTTTGAGTTCGAGCCCCTCATCGAGAGCTGGGAGATGATGATGGAGAAGAGCCAGAAGGTTTTTCTCCCTCCTGTCCTCGCTACTCGTCTCTGACCTTGTTCCTCCCCATCCCAAGGTCATCCCCGAGGACGCGCAGCAGGAGGTCGATGGCTCGCAAGTCTCGGAAGTAGTCACTTACAGCCTGTCATCTAGCGACGAGATGAACATCAACATCGCTGAGAACCATCTCGCCACCTTGCTAAGCACTCTGCTGACATGGAAGCATCACTTCCCCGCGTCAAAGTTCGCAGCTGCAGATTCGGAAACAGAGGGAGCTGTCAAACAGGAGGAAGATGTTTCAAGTCATCGCTGCCTTGTGAATCCTTTCTCGGCGTATGCCATCAAGAATCGATGCGGAGTGGAGTTATGCATCCAGACTTCTCAAAGTGACGCTACAGAAAACCCTCACGTGCAGACTGTCATGCCAATGCATTCAGAGCCGATCCACTTTCCCGACAAGACGTGGAAGCAGCAATCGGCCTATCCGACTTCTCCCAATCATTTCTCATCCTACTCCAATGCCAACAACCATCAGGAAAATCGTGTGTTGAAGATCAGCGTGTACGACGACTCTCTTGAGAGCCTCCCAGGGCTCGCGGCTCCTGCCGATCACAACTGTTTCAACATCGACATCGAAGAAGCAGGGCTGTCATTCCACACGCTCAGCGATGGGTCGAGAGTGATGGCAAACGTGCAAGCTGATGATGAGATATCCAAGAGGGTTGTCACGATCCAGAGCGACATGTCTCTTACCAACGATTGCTTCGTTCCCATCAAAGTTTCCATGAACGTCAGAGGCAGAATCAATGCCTTCCAGCACCTCCTGCTAGCCAAAGAGACCGTCGACTTGCCCCCACTCTTCCTCCTTGACGGTATCGACGACTACGTCATCAGCGTGCAGCCTGTGCTCGAAGAACAAGAGGAGGACTCGTTTGAGATCGCAGGGGCCAACCTGGAAGCGACCCTCCTCCCCCTCCAGCGCGACCTGGACAAGGTCGTGTGCTGCCGCAAGGACACGAGCCATCTCAACTCCTTCTACCTCAGAGTTGTCGCGCACGTCGCCTCCCTCCCGCCCAACACAGCAAGCAAGCAGGCGAGACGGACGGCAGACGCCTCGTCGCAGGTGTGCGAGAGGCTGAGCATCTCACTCCTCCCCGTCCTCATGGTCAAGAACCTCCTCCCCTGCCAAGTCCGCATGAGTTTCCTCCTTGAGGGCGACAAGGCTCCTCAGCCGAGCTACGAGATCTACCCGGGGGAAGAGCACGCCATTCACGACTTCGACCTCTCCCGCAGGATCAGCGCTGGGTTCTGTGTGTGCGGGCTGGAGGAGGGCTCGGAGTTCGTGCCTGTCTTCTGCCCAGATGGCTCTCAGCTCGAAACAAACGTGACCATGTACGACAGCAGCCGAGACATTCTCCGAATCTTCCTCGAGCACTCGCAGACGGCAAATCAGATCTTCCGCATGCACATCTTCGCACATTTCTGGTTCGTAAACAGGACCTCCTTCCCACTCCAGTACGGGCAGAAGTGGACGGCAAGCAATGTTTCCTTGCTGGGGGGGCAGGGCTGCCACGAGGTAGAAGCAAGGACGTCCTTCTCCTCCCCTCCCAGCGTCAGGACGGCCAACCACTCCCTCCACTCCTGCGACTCCAGTCACATGCTACCAGACGCCCTCACGAGCACAGACATCGTGCCGACGCCCTTCTCCTTCCACTGGAAGGTGGACGTAGGAGGCAGCAAGGCAACCCTCAGGCTTGGCCCTCCGTTCCGACGCTACGACGCGCGGGAGGGGATGATGGTGCCGTGCGACTGGTGCCCCTCCTTCTCCATCGACTCCGTGGGGAGCTCGACGCCGGTCACGCTGGTAGGGGATGGGTTCTCAGTGGACCTGGTGGTCTCCGTGGCCCTGATCAAGGAGCTGGGAAATAAGACGAAGTTGGTAACGATCCTCCCGCGCTTCGTCCTCTGCAACCATCTCAACGAGCATCTAGAGCTCCTTCAGGTGGGAGTGGATGAGGCGGAAAAGAAGCGGGTGGAACCCGGACAGATGAAGGTCATCACCTGGTCAGACGAGAGCACCGACCGGAGGCTCCGCCTGCGGATGGTGAGCAACGAGGAGCATCGATCGACAAGTAGCGAGCAGGGGGGTAGCTGGAGCAGCGGGATCTCTTTCCTGTCGCTCGGGTACTCCTCGTTGAAGCTTCCCAAGTGCTCGGAGGCGGCGCAAGGAGCCGCAGCCTTCATGAACGTCACCGCCCATGCGCTGATGCAGGGCAACTCGACCATCCTGGTCGTGAAGGATCGGAACGAGAAGCCTGCACTGCTAGTCAAGAACGAGACGAGGAGCATCACGATTGCAATGATGCAAGCAGACGTCAAAGACGCCAGGGAAGAGACGATCAACCCCGGTGACGTCAACGACTACAGCTGGGACGATCCCCACATGCCTCCGATCCTCCACCTCCGATTCTGCCTCAACTCCCTCGAGCTGTCTCGCTTCGACTGCAACGTAGATCGCCTTGGAAGGTTTCCTCCCATCGTCATCCACCACAACCCCTATGACGTCACCAACCTTCATGTCTCTGTGCACGCCGATGGGCCAACGAAGGTGATCTGACGGCCTCTTGGAGCGATCTGAATGCTCTTGCCAGGTCCTGAGGATCGAAGACGAGCAGTCCTCTCAGAGGTCTGATAAGAGCGACATCAGGACGCAGAGGCCGAGGCGAACCGTCGCAACTCACATCAGTCTCAGTCTCTCTCGAATCGGTGTCAGCATCATCGACTCAGTCCCATCAGAGCTGATCTATCTATCTCTCCACGACCTCAACCTCAAGGTACCTTCCCTCCCTCCATAGCTCCTTCCCCTCGGCCTAACGTCTTCCCTCCTGCAGTACGTCGAGGCTGGGGACTGCAGGATCATCGACTTGCACGTGCAGCATCTGCAGGTTGATCATACTCGAGAGGCTGAAACCGTTTGACCGTTGCATCCAGCTTGACAACCAGACGAACTCGGGCAGTCCTGTGATCCTCGGGCCGTACACCCCTTGGAGCTCCGAGGGAAGTGAGATGAAGGACGAAACCGATCGCAGGCACGAGCAGAGAGCAAGACAAGACAACGTGACGAACAACATGGTGAAGACAGCGAGTAAAAGCTTCTTCCTTCAAGTCTCCATCGTCCAAAACCTCGGGAACGAGTCGCTGGATGTCTTCGACAGGTACCTTGCGCACTCTCTAGTGACCTCTGTTGACTGCGGGTGCGGTAGGATCGACGTCTTGGTGTCTGACTTCAGCATTTCGGCGGATGAAAGTTTGATCTTGAAGCTCTTTGGAGTCTTTCGGTCGCTGATCAACCACTTGAGCTACAAGGACGTGCAAGTTGTTGACAACTCTTCCTTCAGTCAAGTCATCGGAAAGCTCGGCGCTTTCGACCTTTCGTCCATCGACTCCTCCCCTGAGAACTGCCGGTGGATCTACGTGGAACAAATAAGGATCTTCCCCATGAAAATTACTCTCACCTTCCATGGCTCCGAGGACGCGCACGGGTTGCTGAGGAGTCTAGGCCCCGTCTCGAAGCTTCCTGTGTTTGCCTTTGTTGAGGCCCTCAAGGCCGTCGTGAGCAACGTGGAAGGAGCTCCGATCCTCCTGTCTGGCGTCGAGTGGGACCGGCCGTTTCTCCCTCGAGACGAACTTTTCGCGCGGATGGTGAAGCACTACATGACTGACGTCACCAACGGCTTCTACCGCCTCATCGGCTCCTTTGAGTTCCTGGGCAACCCGACAGGTCTGGTGAGCAACATCAGTCAGGGAGTGTCTGCTTTCATCGGCCATTCTCGCGAGGGCTTGAAGGAAGGTCACATCACCGCCATGGGAAGGGGCCTCGCTCTCGGCGCAGGCAGCCTGGCGGCAGGAACGGTACAAGGAGTCTTCGGGTCAGCGTCAGGCATATCGAACGCGATGGTGAAGGGCCTGGCGCAGCTCACCTTCGACGGCGACTACAAGCGAGCGAGAATCCTCATGGATCACGACCGCCCGATGCACATGGGGCAAGGAGTGCTGAGAGGAGGGAAGTCGTTAGGACGTGGCGTCTTCCAAGGGTTCACTGGGATCTTCTACCAGCCCATCAAGGGATTCTCTCGAGACGGCACGCGCGGAGCCATCAAAGGCGTCGGGAAGGGTCTGGTGGGCATCCTAGTTAAGCCGATGGCAGGCATGGTAGACATGGTGGCGTACACGACTGAGGGCATCAAGAACACTCCAGCCTACATCTCGCGCCGTAAAATGCTCTCAAGGATACGATACCCGCGGTATTGGCCCGCCGGCTCGAGCCTCAAGGGATACAATCAGCGGGAGGCCATGGGCATGGCCATGTACAATCACTTGTGCTTGCAGGAGGGATGGTCCCGGGGCGAGAAGCTGGTGCAGCATGCAGCATGGAAGGACTCGAAGCTCGGATATATAGTGCTGTTCATCACAGACCGCCGGCTCATCTTCTGCAACTACAAATTCCAACTTCATCGTCACAACCTCCCGACGCTCTCGATCAAGTACACCATCAACTTCGGCGACCTCTCCCAGTTACGATTGGAAGAAAACAAGATTGACCTCGAGTATCTGAACCAGGGACGCGGGATGTGCTGCGCGTTCAACAAGAAGATCGCTCGAAAATCGTCCACGGCTTCTCTCATGCTCAACATTCAAAACGAGGCATTCTGCAAGTGGTTGTTGCTACAGATCGAAGTGGCCGTGCGGCAGCATAGGGGCTTGGAATTGCCAGAAGATATCCAACAAGGTCTCGATGCGACTTGACCACTTCAAACTCTCACTCTAGCTCCTTGTAGGCTGGAACGCTCGCAGGACTTTGTCGTTGAATGTCCTCCGGCCCGTCCAAGAGATCGACCTAGGTACTAGGAGATCGGCTTTGAGTTACCTTCACCTTCACTTCTCGCAGAATATCTTCTGTCCATGGAGATTCGGATTCGGCATGCCAAAGTTCAGGATGAAGGGTGAGTGTTGCGGCTCCTTTTCTGCTCTGAGACTGCCAACAGGTTTGTGATGTACGGGATTCAACTAAGCATGAAGGTGACACGTGCTATCATCGAAGCGTTGGATGTGTGAAATCTTCTTGGCAGGGCGAACGATGGACAGTGTACAAGAGGTTTGAGAGGACGGGGAAGACAGTCTGGAAGGTGACCCATGCTCAAGGTATTCGGACTTTGTGAAGATGAAGAGAGAACTCGGGAAGCTGCTGCATTCCAGGAGGTTACAAGAAACGCTAGAGATACCCCCGAAGAGGTACAGTTGTCCCATGTCAAGTAGCCGGTCCTGACTGTCGGCTGTCAGATGGCTGGGTTCATCCTCGTCGAAAGTTGTGAGATGCCTCATTGTGATCATGTGCAAGTGAGTGAGAGGTTGCACATCAGGTGGTTCGAGAGAGGATGCAAGGTTTGCAGAAGTATTTGCGCAAGGTTGACATGTGAAAATGAGGAGATATCGATTGAATGCGAACTCAGGTGTTGGAGATCGGAAGCAATGAGGCAGCTGTCGCCAATATTCTGACGAGCTTCCTCCAATGCTATCAACAATGATGTGAAACATGTTTATTAGAAAAAGAAAGTTACTTTTTTTTGAGATTTTTCACAAATTCACACTTCACTCTATTGTTGGTTTTATGATCACACTTTAAGCTTGAGGGAATATGGGAGTAGGCATGCCTTGGACGTTCGTGGCACCGAAGGGTCCAACAGTGCTGAAGCCCTGGACAGGACCGTTCCACGACTGGAAGGGAGGAGCATACATCATCATACCCGGAGCCCCCATGGCGGGGTTCATGACGAAACCAGCTGGAGCAGGAGAGTTCTGCTGCATCTCCTGCGGCTTGACGGGAGCAATTCCGGACTCGGAGGGATCGAGGTACATGTCCTTGGGGGGCAGGAAGTACTGGACGACAGGGTAGACGACGGTGGCCAAGAAGGCCATGTGACCCCAGATGAAGGCGATGGCCACCCACCAGCCAAAGTAAGACTTGCTGAAGGGGTTCTGGGGCAGCGTGAGCAGCGGCCAGAGGATGATAAGAACGATGGAAAGCGCAGTTCCTCCCCTCGTCACCCAGTAGTAGGCATTGTCCATGGCTTCCTTGGAATCCACACCTCCCGACGCCTTCAAGTGCGCATGAGGGTCGTCCTCGACAAGGTAAGTTCCGGTCTTCTCCTCGAGATCCTTCCAGTCGTAATTCTGAGGGCTCATTAGCGAGACGATGATGCAGATGATGGGGGAGACGCAGAGGGAAAGCAGGTTGCCGGTCAGCATGGGGTAGTTTCCTCCAAGGGTGTCCACATTGATCACTCCATTGTTCAGGGAAGCGGCAACCGAGAACCATCCGATGAAAGCTGCTGCGAGCCCGCCGACGGCGCCAGAGATTGCTCCGAGAGCCGTGCAGTCCTTCCAGGTGAGGGAGAAGGTGATGGGAACGACAGCAGAGCCGATGAAGTTACCCATAGACATGTAGACCCAACCCAAGCTGATGTCGAACTGCTTCAAAATGGCTGCAACCACACCCGAGAAGATCGCCCAGAAGATGATTCCAGCGCGCGAGACGAAGATGATCTGCTTGCCGGTGGCCTGGGGGTTGATGTAGCGCTTGTACACGTCGTAGGCGAGGAGCGAGGACACGGCGAGCTGCTCGGAGTTGGCAGTCGAAGTCACGGCAAGGAACAGCTGGAAGGCGATCAAGAAGGCACCGCCCTGACCCAGCAGATGCACAGCCACGGCGGGGGGCACCAGACCCTGCGCGGACTCGGAGGGAGTGATGGGCAAGTTGAGAGCATGGGCAGCGAGGCCGAGGGAAGTCGCCATGGAGAAGGGGATGGCAAACCAAGAGATGCCTCCCAGCAGGTAACCCTTCCAGGTGGCGCTGGGCTGGCAGGCAATGGCTCCCTGCCAGTAGGACTGATCAACGAAGACCGTGCCGAAGTTTCCGACGATGTTGACGATACCGAAGATAAGACCTCCTTGCGACCACATGGTCAAGAGACTTCCATGGCTGTTGCCAGTGGCAAACTCCAAGCCGGTGGTGTTCTGACTCTTGATGGCATCGCATACCAAGTTGTCGTACATCCTGTCGCTGCTTCCGATGTCCGAGGGGCCCGCGTAGATCTTCCACATGAAGATGAGAAGAGCGATGAAGATGATGACAGTGTGCGTGAAGGAGGCGTAGTAAGTTCCCTTCAACCCTCCAAAGGCGGTGTAGACGCAAACAGGAATAGGGATCAAGAAGCTTGCAGCATAGACGTTCACACCCGTCAGCGCCTCGACTGTCGCTGCTCCTCCCAAGATCAACATGGCCGTGACGATGAGGTTGGTGAGAATGCAAAAGAAGAGGAAGACCATGTGCGCGGCGACACCCCAGCGGACCAGCACAACCTCGAGCACCGTGTGGATGGCAGGACACTTCCTCTTGATTTCGATGGCCAGAGTCGCGAACAGGATGACCTGGATCGTTGCTCCAGCAGCATACCAGAAAGGTCCAGACACGCCCTGCTGGTATGCGACATTGCTGGACTGCAGGAGAGTGGCTGCCCATGTCCACTTTGACACGACATCCGCCGCTGTGAGACCCGCGGGGATCTGTCGTCCACCAGAGGTGAACTGCTCAGAGTTCCTGCCGACCTGCTGATCTTCGCGAGTGTGGGACGACGCAAACCAAACCATGAGGGAAGTGATCAACGCGAAAATGACGCCGATTCCGAGAATGATGAACCATCCAAGACCTTCTGGAAGGGGAGGAGTTCCTTGGAAGAAAGAGCATCTCCCATCGTAAGACTTTCCCATGTAGTCGGACAGGCCGAAGATGTTCTTGTACTGACTGACACCGTTGACGCAAGTGTCCCATGGAGTGATGCCGATTTGGCTCTTGAAGAGAGCCTGAACAATCAAAGTCAGGAACCTGGAATCAGGATGGGAGGAGTGCGAGAGAAAGGAACATGTTCGAGCTAGGAGGGAGAAGCAAACAGCATTGACGGCGTCTCACCGTGTTCTCGAGGTAGCACGACATGCCGCTGGTCCCTTCCTCGTCCCTCCTGCCCTCTCCCCTGTTTATATATCTCCTGATAGCCCTACCCACCCCACCCACGCTGTCTCTCAGCAAAGGGGATTCATTTTTTACAGGGTAGTCAATTTACAGGGGAGGGGTGATGGAGAAAAATACAACAGAGTGGGTGGGGTAGATCACAAGGGGTAGGTGATGAAGTACATCAAAGGAGTATCGAGAGGGTGGGGGTGGGGTTCCTACCGGTAAGGATATTTTCGAGGTGGGGAAAATGTTTGCAACCTTTCATGTAGTACCGGTTATAGTAGGGTCAAAGGAGGGGTCATGTCCCTAACGGTAACCGAGGAGAGTTGCAAGCTTACGGCTGCTCTGATGTTAACCCAGAGAATCGTTGAGCCCTCAGGCACATCCTAGGCACCTCTACACGGGTATCCTAGTACCTGGGTCTTATCACGACTATAGCTCCAATACAAAAATGATTAATTTCAAACTTGATCTGTTTACTTGAACCTTAGACGAAAGATTTGGTAGAAGTGGCCAAAATATGACCAATCTGTGGGCCTCACCGGCTGGTTTTCATCTCCCCTCTCCATCCCCTCACTCGAGGCCCTTCAAGACCGTGACTGCGAGAGGCCATGACCCTGCGACCTTTTACGGCAAGATTTAGGGTCTCCTTTACTCTAATTGTGAATTCCCTACAGAAAAATTAAAAATTCAACCAAGGTCAGGTACCCAATTCAGTCAGTCAGTCCTAACATCGGATGAAACTTGGATGCTCGCGAAGTTGATTACGTACCTGTGATACCCAGCCACCCGGCATCCCTTCAGTCCACCTTGCAGGTGGGTCCCAGTGTCAAGTCTAGACAGTGCCCGAGAAACACGATGCTGTCCAGTATATCATTCCTACTCGATCCATCACTCATGCTTTCCGCTCGCCCCCGGGCCCCTTCCCTGACAGGCTGGCACCCTGACCCCTCCCTCGGGGGACCTCCCGGTGAGGACCGCCCACGGTCTCCCTCTGGAGTCCTTTGCAGGTATGTATTCCGAGTTCGTCCATTCTTGTGGGGGAAAAGGAAAAATGATCGGTGTTGAAAAGCAGGCACGGTGCGCCCCCATGCCATGATACTACCGGTGAACACCGAGTCAGCCTCGGGCCGGCGCACCGTACTGCCAAGTTGAGGAAAGAATGGAGTATCAACTTCACCATCGTTTACTTTTTTATTTTCGTAAATTATTATTATTACTGCTGCAGTATCAGTCCTGGAGACTTTGTGGCCACGCGTGAAACGCAGCTTCTGATTTACGTACTGGGCAACCAAAAGACTTCTATTTTATATCAATCCGCAGTGAAGCGATGTGATGTCCAACTTTTGCGTTATGCATCGCTTGGCCGCTGCGCCCAAAGGCTCACTGAGTGGTGCCGGCCCGGGCCCGGCGGGGCCCCGTTCAGTCGTGCGGTAGTCACTAGCCGGCAGTTGAAATCAGCTCCGAGGCTCCGGCCACTGAGGCCCACCGGGGCCAAAGTACATTGGCCCGCGGGCCAATGGTGCCCCCGGGGCTCTGGATGAGACTAGCAATGGACTGTAGTCATGAGATGCTGCCCTCGTCATCATAGGCCCGGTACGGTATGCAGCAACCATGTAGCAGACCGACATGGCTCTTGAAAGCTGGTGCGGAGATGGAGGAGAAGATGCTGTCTGAATGTAGCAGGAGCAAGGTGAGGCAGCAAGGCAGCAAGTGTGCATAAGATGGAGGAGATCGAGCCACAGCAGGAAGCCGGGTCGAAGACCTTTCAGCCGAGGAGTGAAGCGTTTCTGGTTTCACCAGGGGAGGCCAACAAGGCTCCCTTGCTCGTGAGGCGTCGAGCACGTGTCAAGAGGGTTGTGTACATCGACAAGCCGCTGTCGCTGTCTGGCAGCTCCTTCTGGTGTATGCTCATGGTGGCCTTGCATTACATGATCTTTGCCTTTCTCCTTCTCACTGGGCTCTACCATAATTACTCCCAGCCTCCCATCCAGCTCGCTCTCATCCCCTCCTTCACGGCTGCTTGCGTCTCAGTCTTCGGCATCCTCTGCATCCCGTTGCAAGCAAACAAGTACATCAGGTTTCTGCTTCGTCCGAGCTCAGGGCTGCTGATATCCGTCGCCGCTATGATAGGAGCGGGAGTGTGGAGTGCTCTCTTGTATGGGCCCTTGCACAACAACTTTTCTCAGGCGTTTCAGTACCTCGAGACTGCAGCCTCTGGAGTCCTCTACTTGCTCCTCGTCTACCGCAGGCTCAAGTTCGCCGACTCCACTTTCTCTGCCGGCGCTGAATCTCTTCTCAAAGTACGGAGCATCTTTGTGCGAGCCTGTGCTCATGCGCTGGTGCTTCTCATGTACATCGTGCTGTGGTCGTTGTGCTACATCAACCTCGTCGAGGTCGAAGATGTCTCCCCGAGCTCCAACGTGACCCAGAGCTCGAATCCCTTCCCTCGATGGTCGACAGGAGGTGGAAACTACGTGTCTTTCGGCAGTCCCTCCCTGTGGGTAGCCAAAACTTTCCTGTTGTATAACTTGTACAGTGTTACCATGACGGTAAGAAATTTGTTTATCTAGTGACGACAAATTCACTGGACTCCAGATCAAGTCTTCTCTTTGGATCAGCATTTGGAGCATATCTTCAAAGCTATCCGAAGCTGCGAGGAAGCGATCGGATGTAGTTTTGCTGTCTGACTACCAAGAGAAGCTGTATTTTAGGCAGAAGATTCCTTCAATCCTCATGTCTTCTCAAGTATTGATCATTTCTCAAATATTGAACAGCTTCACTGAGGCCTTTCGTCGCTCGAGTAGAGTGAGATCAGGTGAAGGCATTTTTGAGCTCTCTTTCTGTTTTCTCAGCATCTTCACCGCTCAGGCATGCGGTATCATCTCGGATCGTTGCTCTCCTTCTTCACTCACCCGATCTCAAAGTTTTCAAACTTCTTTGGCTTGACTTTCGATGAGGGCGAGAGGAAGAACTTCGTGCGCAAGTCGCGGGAGCTGTGGGATCTGTTCGATAGGACCGGGATGAAGGATGTGGTGAACAGCGACCTCTTGTTCGGGGTTCGCATCATGAACCTCCTCTTCCTCGGCACGGCGTGCAGCATCGCTGGCACACTTCTCGTTCAGATATCAGGGTATCCCTTCCTGGTGGCTGAGCGCATCGGATGGTTCTGCTTCATCACCGGGATCGCAGCCGGAAACTGGGCGCTGGAATGCGCGGAGATGTGGGCGTGCAGTCTGTTCGTGGAGTTTGCACAAGAACCATCGAGCGTGTACATCAGCAACCCTCAGTTTGCCAGTGATGTCTTCGAGGTCTTGTTTGGGACAGGAGCGCAGAAAAGATCACAATTTCCTCACGATAATGTGGAGAACGACGTGCTGAGTTCAGACCGGTCGAGCGCAGGAGATGGCAAGGAATGATGGCAAGGAATCATTCTTATTGATAGTTAGACATTTTCTCCTCTTCAAACAACAGACGGTCACGTCATGGCTGTGTCCGGGCCGTTCCAGTAGGATGACGATTCAGGGTTCAAGGCGACGAACTGAGCGGTGGTGGTCGAGGGCGGCTCCATCTGTCATTCGAGAGGTCAGCGAGGCAGGAGAAGAGAGGAGGCTCACGGTATATGCTCCTGACGGGAACTGGTTGCGATGCCTCTGATCGAACCGGTCGAACGAGTCGTAGTACCTCGGAGACTCCGGGTACATCTGGGTTGGGTAGATCGTCTCGAAGCCGGGAGGATAGTCGAAGGAGTTCGAGCGCTGCTGGTCCATGCTCGTGCGATCCATGGGAGCATAGCTCTCGCTGTAGTAGGGCAACATGAGCCTCGGTGGGGTAGGAGGATTGAGCCCTCCCTTGCTGAAGCTGTCCGACCGTCGAGGATAGAGGGCGACTTGCAGTGGGTTTGGCTCCATGGACCGAGGAGTCTGCGGCTGGGAGGAGCCGTCGGGATCAGTTGCGAGCTTCTTGTCCTTCTGTTTCCACTCGTGGGCCTTCCACATGAACAAAGGCATCCATTGGAGCAAGACTGCGAACAAGGCGCAACAGAGCCAAACCATATCGTAGTCGGACAGAAAGCCGGTGCAGACGAGGCTGACGAAGCTGAGGTAGTCATCTCTAACCCCAAAGACTCCGTCCACGCAGCTCACGTTCAAGTCCAGCACCCTCTTTCTCAGCAGGTCAAGTTTGTTCTCAAGTGAGCCTGACAAACGTCCGTCAGTCGTCGGTTAGCTTGACATGGAACGAGATCAACCTGGCTTAGACGCGTCTGACTGGATCGAGACGTTTTTCTGGAGCTGCAGGATGGAGGTGTTGAGGAGAGCCAAGTCATTGATTGCTTTAGCCACAATCAGTTTGGCCTCGTCAAGGATCATCAGTGTCTGACAGCACATGCAGACTGTCTTGCAGCTTCCGGCGCATGGCGAGCAAGTGTCGCACTGATAGTTTGACGAGCTGATAGCGAGATCGCCTTGCGGGAAACCTGAGGACTGACAAGTGGCTGCTTCTGATATGCAACGAGCAACAGTGATGTCAGCACACTCAGAGCCGTTTGCATTGCTCAGGGACAGTTCGTTGTAGAGGAGATTCAGTTCGCTGCTGGCGTTGAAGATGCCGGCCTTCGAGTCAGAGATGAGAGTTTGAATAGCTGCGATGTCGACCTGAGAGAGCGTCAGAGCAGATGAGACAAGCACACAAGAACAAGAGACTTGATTTCGAAGGCGAAAGGGATCGAAGGATTGGTTCACCGCCGTCTCGTTCACATCCAAGACTTGAAACATGCTCGACCCGTACGCGTTGGTCGATCCCAGGCATGAGGAGAACAACTTGGTTGAGGTAGGAGCGTACACAGCGCCGAAGGCAGCCGTCAGGAGCGTGACGCCCTTCTCCGGAGAGACGCTGGGGAGAAGGTCGCAGAAGGAGCCGAGGAGCTCGGCGACGGGATAGAGCGACCCCAGGGAAATCCAGTAGAGACTTGCGAGCACAACACTCACGCAGTACACCCAGATATGCTTGGCCTTGCTGCCCAGGAAGAGATTGATAAAGGGGAGCAGAGCGTTTGTAAAGAAGGTGAGGATGAATAGTCCGAGGATGGTTATCATGAAGATTTGATTGAGCTTCTTGACGTATGGCTTCACGTCTGTCGCGTACCCGTCGCCATACTTTGTGAGAGTAGAGTTTGCTGCTTGTAAGATGTAGATCGCCTTCAACAGCGGTTGTCTCGCAATGACCTTGACTACAGCTGTGATGGGTCTGTTCAACTGGAAGGAAGGGATTGTCCGTCCCATCAGAGTAGCATTGAAAGTCTTGACCCCCTCTTTCAGCGGATTGATGGTGACAGCACTGGAGATGTTGATGCTCGACCAGGCATCAAGTTTCAAGTAAATGTTGTTGAGGTCAGTGGAAAGGTCTTGTCGATACTTGGAGATCAGGTAAGAGTCTGCAAAGATCGACGATGAACTCAAGAGCGTGTCATACAACAGCCCATTGCTGTTTTGACTGCCGAGGACCGTGTCGATAGTTGTGTTGAAGTAGAAACCATAACTGCAAACATGGTTAGCACAGGCACTGTTGAGTGAAGAAAGCTCTCAGAAGCACCTTATCAATGTGTTGAAGACTTTCAAGAACGAATTCGCTCTAGTGGAGTATTCGTCCAGCGACTTGGAACAAGAAATGCAGCCTATCACGGTGAAGCTGGTGACGGGAAGAATGAAAACGATCAAGGTAGCGATCTGCAAGATTAGCATCCTGTCAGGCCGGTGCTCTGTTGCCCGTCGAAAGCAGAAGAGGAAGGGTGAGGCGAGCGTGTGTAACAAGATCGTAGCAGCAGCAATACTGCAACCCACAATGAAGCAAACTGTCACTCCCTGCAATCAGTTCAGAGCTGCGTACCGAGTGATCTGCATCAAGAAAAAAACAAGTCATACCTGAACAAGCTTGTCTGCGTATCCACTGCCCTTCCACCTTGCATTAAGATTGCCGATTCTGTCCTGTAAAATCAGATCGAGTATGCCTGCCTTGGTGTCAACGGCCTCCACGTGCTTGTCATACAGAGGGACTCCATCCCTCAGCTTCGAGGTGAAGGAGAGGAAGTCGGAAGCATGAGAAAAAGTATCTTTCTTGATCACTGGCGCGACGTCGTTGGACAGGCACTGGGTGTTGTGTTGTGCCAGCCATGAAGCAGGAACAACATCACACCCGCGCTGAACTTGGTTGAGGTCCCATGCGCAGTTCAAGAAATTCACTTGAATTGCATTCTGAGCTTCTTTGGTACAATCGCTGTCAACCTCGCATTGGGCAGGGCTGCCATAGCAACCCCAAAGTTTGCAGTCGGAGACGTATGTGGTGAAGGTCGAGCCGATCTGACTGCACATGCTCGCAGCTACAGAGTAACAAGTGCTGAGATCTAGAGACTTCTGCGGAATCTGTTGTATCACATCGACAGGCGGCACCGTCAGGGAGCTCAGGCACACTTTCGTGCGATAAGTCGGACAAACGATCGTTGAAGTGTATTCTACGTCTCTGCAGTATGTTTGCAGCGTCTGAACCACATCAGTTAGCTGCTAGGGCAGGACTCGCAGAGAATTCTCACCTGACAGTGAACTGCCCATGGATCTACGGAGTACAACGCCGCGATTAGAACGAGCTGAAGTATGCCCGGCGCCATTGGCAGTGACTTGACACCCTCTTCTTAGTTGATCGTTGCCGTGAGCGTTGGGAGTTGTAGCTCAGCGATCTCCATCATCTACACACATCCGATCGTATCATGTCGACCCTCAAACACCTGACGCAGCAATGAAGTGGTCAGTGTGAGAAGCAAGTTCGGAACTTGCTTCCAATCCTCCTGGCTTCGAGTCCGATCCGTCCTATCTCAGTGCATCGCCTTCCGCAAGGGTCGCACCCTCTCCTCGGATCTCATCACCTCTCCTCCCTCTCTCCCTCTTTCTCTGTCTTCGACCTGCTCGCTTCTTCTTCCCTCGCTCCCTGACCTGTTCGCTACTCCTCCCTAGTCAAACTTGCATTCCGGCACACTCGCCGTTACGGGTCCGTGGTAACGGTTGTAACGGGCACCAGGGGAACCACCTACCCTTCATGTTCACGTATTTGACTCTGTATACACGGGTAGGTCATCTATGACAGTTACACTGCAACGCAACGTAATAACGGTTTATGTGCGCCATTACCACGTGGAAAATGGCGACCAGGCGAGGTGAGGGAGGGGGAGGGAGGGGGAGGGAGGGGAAGGGAGGGGGAGGGAGGGGGAGGGATGGGGAGGGAGGGGGAGGAGGGGGAGGAGAGAGGATATTCTGAAGGGAAGGAGGAAGGTGAATTTTCTCTTCTGCCACTAAATTCTTCTGTAGCTATTTTCAATGCAAAGCAAAGTTTTGGCAAGATTTTTGGACATGTGAGATCAAGTCGGTCAAGTTTGAATCCTGCGCAATCACAGCTGAACATGGAATCAAATGCAACAAGGATATCTTACAGTGATTCTGTTCTCATTCACGACCTAACCAAGCCTTCAATCCGAGTTTGTAGACCCTACGGTCGGGACACCACGGTGAGAAGCATAACGCAGCTGTGTGCCACAAGAGGAGCTCGAAGACTTCACCAGGTTGTCCTCGTGTTAACAATCTTGTGTGTCTTGTCTCTTCTTTTGTTAATTGCAGAGTTGTATAAGAGATCAAAACTGACGTAGACAGTAGGAGGCAAGGGGTGAGTCGGGTGGAATGTATTCAATATTGAAGAATTCCGTCTTTTATTTTCTAACAGCAACCGGTGATAAATACTTGATCGCGCCATGTAGATTCTGACCTGTTGAGAAAGGCTTTGTGGTTTGGGCAGTGCAAGCGACAGAACTTGTAATGTACTACATGCTTCCCGAGCAATACCAGGAGATGATGGAGCAGGAGATCGAGGAGGAGAGGAGGAGAGATCAGTTCTACGGAGTCGACCCTTCACTTCCAGACAAGCTCTACTTCCAGGAGCTCACAGCCAAAGACTCTGCATTGCTGCAGCTGACGAACCGGCTGCAAAGTGCCACGGAGATCGCTGAGATTCTAGGTGATGCCACCCACCCCCTGCAGCTGACCTACCTGAGCAACGAGTTCTACTCTGGCTCACGGCAGCAAAAGGGACACGATCGGACGTGGCGCCCGAGAATGTACATCGAAGGCAGTCGCCGTGCTGCCATCGTGGAGAGCAGCTTTGTAATGAGCGGTGAGGAGTGGGTACCTACCCACGTCAAGATTGAGTCCGTTGCAAAGAGCGGCGAGACGCTCCTCGATGCTGCGCTGCCTCTTCCTCATGGGCTGAAGTATGTGAATCTAAGCAGCCTCTTGAGCCAGCCGTAGACTTTCATGTGCGCCCACACAGTGAAGAGCTCCGAAACTACGATGAAATGCTTTATTTCTTCTCACCACGCTGCTTCTTCTTTTTCTTGAACCGCTTCTTCTGTTCCTCCCTTCTATTTTCAATGTCAAAAAAACACATCAATGGCAGGAAAACTCCACCTTCTCATGTCTTCCTCAGTCTCTTCATCATCCTCTTCGTCATCATGTTTCCACCATTCCCAGGGTCTGTACATTCACAACCTTGAGGGCCCAACGGAGATGCGAGGCAACAGGCGATACCGGTCTACATCATCATTCCAGCGCACTCCATCCTTGTCTTCATCCAGCCACTGCACAAGAATCGTCAGCGTTCCCTCTGGCTCTTGTCGGCGTTCAGGGTGTCGATACCTTGGACCAGTCGACATGCATATTCTTGGGTTTCTTCCCCCCCTTGAGGAGATGAGGCCTGCTCAGTTTACATGACCCGAGCTCGTGCTGGCGGAGCACAGGAGCACGTCATCACCAGTAAGCTTCTCTCTTTGCTTTCATGAGCGTGCATGAGACATCTCGAGCATTGACCTCGCAGTGGGTGACGTTGTAGACCTCCGCGTCTGATGTGATAACATGTCACGTGGAGGCGGTTTGAAGCAAGCACAGTTCACGACCGATCACACAGGTTTCCCAGGGATTCGCGTTCTCTGAGGTCTGAGAAACAAATTCAGTGCAAAGAGCACAAGATCGTCTCTCAATCGTCAGCTTACTTTGCATGACTTCTTTCTTGGGTGCAGGCGCCAATCCTTGCAAAGACCACCACATGAGCTGTCTGTGGCGTTCAACCCCTTGTGAAGATGGAGATCAATCCAATATCTTTCTCTCTGCTCTCTTCGATCTCTGGAAAGGATGTTACCATTCAATCCTCCCATCATCGAGGGCAGAGAGAAACTCTCGAATCACAATCATGGCAGAGAAGCAATGCAACGCAAGGAGGAGTTATGTTTGCCAGACCTATAGGAACCCATTCCCTCAAATTTGAACGTCCCATCTTCGTGCACGTAGAAGCTCTCGTCCGTAACACCCTAGCATCCATCAGCATACCTCTACAGATCCGTCGCCTAGACCTGAAGGTCGATCGTAATAAGGATCCTGTCCTTTCTCTGAGCCCAGCGAAACTCAGCTTCCGTGCTCATGGAGGGATCATGGTCCTTCCTACTGGGCATGTCTTGAGCCCTCGTCTCATCGCTCCTTCCTCCTCCGTCGCCTCCTCCTGCCGCCACCGCAGCGCAGGCCAGCATCATCCACCATGCCCTCATCATGCGCGTACCCACCCGTTCGACTTCTCTGTTTGCATTTACTACCCCCTCCTTTCATATCTTAATTGAACTAAAAGACCCCTAGTTTTACAATCAAGGTGTTTACTACCCCTTGGTTCTGATATACCCCACCCCACAATTTTCATGTGCTATCCACCCGTAGGCCTTAGCAGAAGCTCTCGAAGAATTGAGGGTAGGGTGGGTAATACTGTGATAATTGACGGGGTACCTGTACGTACGTTGTATCCACGGGTGCTTTTTTAAGGATATTTAGGGGTAGTGGTAATTGGGACTGGAGATTCATTATCGGAATTGGTATATTGTCTCAATTATTTCAATAAATATATGAAATTTACAGTTCACTTTTCAAAAATATGTTTGTCAACTTCAATATAAATTCAACTGGATGAGTTTTTGTAGTAGTTTGGCGGAAGTGGAGGCTGAGAAAACTTACGGTGCAACATGGCGGAGACAAACCGAGGGGATGGGGGACTTTGTACAGATAATGATGATGTCGAACTGAGAAGATGAGGCCAAGTGGAGAGATAAGAGGAGATCAAACAGAATTTTCATGCATCAAGGAGAATCTAATGGAAAAGTCAAGATATGATTTGTGAGGAGAAGAAAGATTGTGAAATGTTGATTTATCAAAAGAAGAAGAGAATATGAGAACACAAAGATAGATGCCCAGAGAGAGGAGGGAAGAAGGAGAGACTAGCAGAGCAGGGGAGAGGTATGCTGTGAGGAATGGGGTAAGATAGGAAAGCAGCGATTGAAAGAGAACACTGGGTCAGGGGAATTGGAACTTGCTTGAGGGCAGACTTTGTCAGAGGAAGAGGGTTCAGAGATGTAACAGATAAGATGATCAGTGAGACTAAAATGTAAAGCTTCAGGGGAAAACGAGTTTTTGTGTGCTACAGAAGCCGAGTCCATCTCTGCCAGTAGTGATGGTAGAGATAGTCAATTTTGGAAATCAGGAGCTGAGCGTTTGCAGTTTTCGTTTGTTGTCATATCCATCCTTTACCATTGTGATGCAGAATGTGGATGCCCTCTGATCGTCAGTAGCCTTGCCCAACGAGATGGTGAAGCGGGGGATCTTGAGTGTGTTTTGTCTGCTGCTTTCATCTGCTTCATACTCTAATGGTGAGGCGATTTTGTTTTCTTTCAACCTGTGATGGTCTGCAGGATACCTTCACCTCGACTGTCTTACAAGCATCAAGTCTTTTGTTCGCTCTTCATCTCTGCAGTCCTGCCATCATGGGACGAGGCATCGGATCAAGTTAAGGATGTGCAATCCGAATAACGAAGAGGCGGTTCGGATGGAAAAGGCGATGGCGTATGCCAAAGTTTTCAAGGAAGAAGGCGTGCCTGGTGACATGAGAATGTTCAACGTGAACAAGGTATCACAACTCACCACTACTGATATTGTGATGTCATTCCAAGAAATTACATCAACATGATTTGATGCTGTTGTCTTTTATCAACAAAATCCAGATTGTTCCGCATGCGCTTCATCTGACACTCTGCAGGTTGCACGAGGTACAGACGCTGTGCTGGCTGACTCTCGTCTTGCCAAAGTTTACATGTACGCAAAGATGTTCAATGAGATGCCGAAGAGGTGAGAGGTTGATAACTTAAGAAAGTTGAGATGATGCTTGCAAACAGTGCGGAGAGATTGAAGGAAGAAGTGAAAGAGGTCATCGAGAAGGAACGATCCAACTACACCATGCTGCGCTCCAAAGGCCGATGGACAGAGTTGTAGTTGATTGTGACAATCAGTTTGCGGAGACATTGAGATTGTAAGAGTGTGAAAATGAACAGAAGAACTGAAGAAAGACTGAGATACGTGCTGTGTGACTTAATTGGTGTCTTTCTCAAACACAAGTGTTGGTAGTTACTGCTACCTAAGTACCTTTCGCTCCGCTGTACCTCAACCGGCCATGTTGTCTCGGTTCTCTCATTTCGGCGACCTGCTCTTGATGGAGGGCCCATGCGCAGCAGGAGATCTGCAGGGAAGAGGAGGAGGAGGACAAAGAGGAGGAGGAGGAGGAGGAGAGAGGCTTCGGACCACTTCTTCCTTGCGGAGAAGAGCAGGAGACGGGGATCCCATTGGCTTTCTCTGTTCGCTGTACGATCCCTTGCTCCTTTTGGCCTTTGGGGTTTCACGCTTGCTGCTGGAAGGAGGAGGAGGAGCTCCTTTGCTGCTTGAGAGTTTGGGGCGGAAGGTACATTCCTCAGTCTCCCTCTGACGAAGGAGAGTTAGAGCAGGAGCACGATCATGACCACGAACACGAAGAGAAGGAGTAGCACAGCAGCAGCAGCAGGAGCAGGAGCAGGAGCAGGAGCAGCAGCAGGAGCAGCAGCAGCAGCAGGAGCAGCAGCAGGAGCAGCAGCAGGAGCAGGAGCAGGAGCAGGAGCAGCAGCAGCATAGGAGAAGATGGTGCTGAGTGGGCAAGCGAGAGGAGGAGGAGCAATAAAGCACCATCGCCAGCAGTTTCCTCTGTTCCTGAAGCCACTTTTCCTTCTTCCTGCCAAGTGCGATGTTGACATGCTGTCTGTAGAAAGCGGAGGACAGGAGGGAGAAGCCAGGCACAAGGTCGAGCAAGAAGAGGAGGTGGAGGTGAAGGATGGAGTAAAGGAAAGGAAGTGCACCGGAAGGAAGATGGAAGAGCAGGAGCAACGAGGAAGATGGAGGGGGGAAAGCACGAGAAGGATGACTGACCTCAACGCTTCTTGCTGCTTGTCGTAGATGGATATCGCAACCACGTTGTCTTCATCCAATACTGGAATTCTCTCCAGGTCCTTTCAAGTGAGGGGCTCAGTGAGGAGGGAGAAGGAGGAAGGAGGAAGGGAAAGCGCTGGCTACTGAAAAGGAGATGAGAAGCAGGAGGAGGAGGAGAGAGAGAAGGGGGGAGGGGGGGGGGGGGCTGGAGGACGTTTAGGAGGAGGAGGAGGAGAAGGAGAAGGAGAGAAGCAACCACAACAATGAGGAGGAGGAGGAGGCTTGTCACCTGCCATGATACGCTCAATCCTGTCTTGGGTGTTGCGAGCTGACTCTGAGAGGAGAAGGGTAAACGAGGAAAGTATTCGATGGAAAGAAAAGCGTTACGGGGGTCGATTGTTTCTGAAGCAGTTGAGCGAAGTCGTTTGACATGTGCAAGATAGAACGAGATGAGTCGTCGAGATGGAGACGAGAAGAAATCGTTGAGTCGTTCAGCGCTTGCTGGAATACACACGTCGTGAGAGAATTCATCTCATCTCATCTCATCTCATCTCATCTCATCTCATCTCGTCTCGTCTCGTCTCGTCTCATCTCATCTCATCATCTGTTGTTACCTCGGACGCGTACAATCTTGAAAGTGACGTTTGAAGTTGGCTCAGGGCATCCTCGACGTTTTTGTCTCCCTATAGTCGAATGACGGCAAGTAGGAACAAACTTGAACCCACCTGCAACCACCCGCCCTCTTCCAAGCCAAAGAAGCTTTTCTGCTCGACAAAACATCAGTACTTCTCAATAAGGATCAGCAAAATTCATAACATCGTCATCATCGTCGTCATCGCCATTATAATCATCTCCATCATCATCATCATCATCATCATCATTATCATCATCATCATCATCATCTCATCATCATAATCTCCATCTCATCTCCGTCTCCATCATCAGATCCATCATCACCATCATCATCCTCTTTGCCCTCGTTCTTGTCGTCTTTGTCTTCCACCTCCTCCTCATCTACTCCCTCCTCACCTGAAGCTCATCTTCAGCGCTGAACAACATCTTCCGATGGCTCCTGCTTGCACTCTTCGACTGATTCGTGTACGGAGAGAAAGTGCATTCTTTCTCTTCATCCTGCTTATACATCAGCGCAACACAAACAAGTATAGCAACATCTCACTGCTCTCACTCGATCCCCGAGCTCCTTGCGGCGACTTTCGTACAACTGATGGTAACTGTACAACTGATCGTACCTGTTTGTACCATCTCCGTTTCTCGCCTGCAGCCCTGGTGAGGGAGAGGGAAGGATGGGGAGCGTGGGGGTACCATCGAGTCAAGTAGACGAGAGCGCTGGTTGATGTGGGGACGGAAGTTCTGTTCTCCTCCTGCCATGGTTGAGCAGGGGAGGCTACAGGGAGCGGTACCGTCTTTCTGTCCCTTCTCGTCAACGGGAAGTTTGTCCCTCGAGCTCGATCTCTCGACGTTGAGCTTGACATTAGTATCTGAGAGCAATCCATGTCAACAACAAGAATATGAACATGATGGTAGTCGTCATCAGCATCGTCAATCAGCATCGTCTCAATCATCATCATAATCGCTATCATCTGCATCCTCAGACCTTCTTCTCCGTTTTCTTGCTTCTTCATCGCGATCTCCCGGCTCCTCTTGTTGATTTTCGGCTTTGCAGCAAGCTGGAGGAAATGTGAGGCATTCTTGAAGAGCTTTTTCAACTTGACAACCTTCGAAATGTCTACTTCTCTCGCACGCTTCATCGCCTCCACCTTTGATTTTGTCAACTTAGTTTGCTCATCACAAACCGGACCGAAAGAAGAAATTTGTTGCTACACACAAAACGACACAGCGAAGGATTTCTGTAATTAGAACAGAAATTCTAGAACAACACAGAACACAGAAGTTCTTCTCCATTCTCACATCATTCCACCATTTCCATGTTCATCATGTGTTGTTGCTCACCTTCGACAACTTCTCGGCGTTCCAAGCAAGTGAAGCTTGCACGAAATCGCTGAACCTGACACATCAATCACGTCAACTACAACCAACAACGACTCTTCATTCACCTCTGCAGGCTGGCAAGCTTGTCTGATCGCTGATTAATCTTGGGGTTGAAAAACTCCTTCACAGACCGTCACCGCAGAAAAGAATCCTGACTGACCTGACCTGTCCTGTCTTCTGATCTTTCAACGACTCCTGTACAATCTTTTCCTTCAGCTTCTCGAGAGATTTTTGACGCTGTAAAAGTCTCAACGAGGAACATCTTACACGGCTCAACACACCTCGAAGAAATTCTCGTACAGCCTGTCAACGTACGACTTCGGGTCTTCGAGCTCCCTTGACGAGGCTGGAGACAGCAAGTGAGAAGTGAGCGAAAATGATTTTCAAAGAAGTTGATCAAACATCGACAAGTAGGAGGAAGGAAGAGGGTAGACGAGCAGAAGGAGGAGGAGAGGGAAAGCTGGACGGGAAGGAGGAAGAAGAATGAGGAGAGGAAGTTGGGGGGGGAGGGTGAGAGGGAGGGGAAAGGATGAAGAGAGAAGGGGGGGAGAGAGAGCGGGCAGATGTAATCGAGTGAATGATTGCTTACCGATATGGTCGGAGATTTTATCGATCTGCGGTTTTCCTCCCTGCATCGTTAGAATCTCAGGATTGATCCTTCTATTCCTTCTGCCCTCATCTTTCTTATCCTTCCCTCTCCCCTCCCCCCTCCTGCTCCTTCCCCCGCTCCACTTCTTCCTTCTCCCCTCCTGCTCCTGCTCCTGCTCCTGCTCCTGCTCCTGCTCCTGCTCCTGCTCCTGCTCCTCGTCCTGCTCCTTCTGCTGCTCCTGCTCCTGCTCCTGCTCCTGCTCCTGCTCCATCTGCTCTCACCTTCATCGCCTCCTCAAGCTGCTCCTTCCTCTGCTCCTTGAGCTTCTTGTATTCTTCCCCATACGTCAACAGCCTCTCAACCCAGTCCGCCTTCCTCGCGCTGCTCATCCCCATGATCAGAGAGAGTGAAGAGAGAACATGACAAGCAAATGGAAAGTTGCGAAGAAGCAGGAGAAAGAGAAAAACGAGGACGAGGACGAGGACGAGGATGGGGAAGGGAAGTAGAAGGGAAAAGTAGAAGAGAGAAGTGACAAGGAGACAGAGCAGGAGAGCTTCGGTCAGCGTCAAGACAGGCTACAAATGTTTCACCTCCCCTTAGCTTCTACGATCGCCAAGCTCTTTGGACAGAGAGCAGGAGGACGGAGCAACTTCAGCTCCTGCAAGGAGGTAAGGAAGCAAGAACGACATCAACGAGAACAATTTCCTCCTCCTTCCATCGCTCCTCTTGCAGTTTCACTCGCTCCTCCTTCTTCCTCCTCCACTCGTCCAGGTCTTTCCAGCCCCTTTGAATCTTCTGTTGCCAGTCCCAGTCAGCAGGGACGGCGACGTCACATCACAGGCGAACCTTAGCCGCTGTAGTCAACGCCGGAGTCTTTTGCATTTCTGCCTCCTCAGTCACTTTGCTAATCGCCTTCTCCTTCACAATCTGCCAGCGTCGTTCAGCTCCAATTCTTCACTTCTTTCCTCTTGAGAAACCTTGGCTTTCTGGATGTTGTCTTGATCTTGCAGCCTTTGCCAAAGTTCCATGTTCTCTTTGCTCCAAATTTGAGAGTCAGGAGATTTGGAAGGTGAAGTCAGCCTGAGGTCGTGGTCGCCCGGGGAGATATCTTCGGCGCTAACTGTTTGCAAATGTGATTCAGGTGAAAGAATTTTCATTGGGCCATCATCATCATCATCATCATCATCATCATCATCATCATCATCATCATCATCATCATCATCATCATCATCATCATCATCATCATCATCTCCATCATCATCATCATCATCTCCATCATCTCCATCATCATCTCCATCCTCATCTCCATCATCATCATCCTCATTCGATTTTATTATTTCCGTCACCGAGGGCGAGCAGCTTTACTGTGCATAACATCAACCCTGCTCTGACTTTCTCAATCCCTGGACATGTGAACGTGAGGAAAAAATTCAGAGCACGAGACAGGATAACCTTGCGAGCCATGCATGTGCAGCAGCAGCGATTGCGAGCAATCGAAAGGGAGCTGGCTTTTGCCGAAGATTCTGCCCATTGCGGTCAGGCAAAGAGTGGAGCAAGAAGAGGAAGGGAACTTGAGGGCGAGGTGAGCAAGAGTCAGGTTGAACTTGACGTAAGTTGTATGTTCAGAGCTGCCTTGCACGAAGCAGAAGTTGTAGATCTCTTTCACTTCTCGGCGGGAGAGGTGCTGTTGTGCTCTATGATAAACACACAACTAAGGTGCAGCAGCAAACCTTTGGATGGATCTCAAAGTCTGAAAGGAAAGTGGAGAAGACATTCCTTGTGAAGTTGCCATCATCTTGTGAACAAGTCTGGGTCTGTTTCTCCAACTTCTCCTGCAGCGAGAGTTTGTGATCTGCAAAGAAAAGTCACGCCTGGTCAAAAGTTTTCATGGTCCAACACTGACAGTGGTCAAGAATGCGCTGGAGGCTTTCGCGTTTAGGAACGAAGGCAACAAGAGCTTGCGCTATCGCCTCTTCGTCATATCTCTGCACACAGATCACGTTGTTGCTCTCCTCCGGCGCAACCGCTTTCTTCTCTCTCGCATTCTTGGTTGCTGCGGGAGGACTCTTGGCCTTGGGTTGCTCAAAGAATTTAGACTTGTGAAGGGCAGAAACGAGCGAGGTCTCTACCCAGAGTTGAAACAGCGTCTGGAAGTCTTCTTCTGCCTCCTCAGCGAATCTCAACTTTGCGAGATTCGCCATGGCGTTCTTGAATCGAGTGATTGAGAGCCCGTTCACTCTGCCTGCTGCTCGTGCTGCTTCGTCGGACCCGAACACCAATACTTGTAGGTCTGGCAATGTCAGCTGCTGCTGGCCCATCGCGCCAGCTCTCTTCAAGAAGTCCGAGAAGTCCTCCATGCTCACCGTCCCATCCACAGACGCCATGGCGATGAAGCATTCATTCAAGAAGTGATCCAGGTCTACCGCTTGCACAGAAGGCTGGCGCTTTCGAGACTCAATCAACCGTATCGAAGCTTCATGCGTATCTTGCATATGCCGAATCTCATCTTCGTAAGTTACAATCATGGTCAAGTCTTGTTTCAGATTTTCATGATGGAGTTGCTTGGCGGTCTGTCAAGGAAACGATCAGAATCCTCAGCCAGGCTCATATCATATTACTTTGACTCGATTACTCTGTCATTCAACTCAAATTCCTTTGTACGATCTGTTTTGATATCTCTGATCATAACACTAGCTACCGTACTACAACATCCGCTACTCGCATGCTAGTCCCAGTCCGCTTCCGAGGCTTCAGAGTCTCCCGCCATTCGTGTAACGGATCTTTTCCTGTCGAGGTCCAGCCTTGACTAGCCTCGTCAACATCATCCCCCTCAGACGCAAATTCCGAAGCCAACGGCAGAGCCAACGGTCAGACGCCCGGGCAGGACTCGAGTCCCCGGAGTCCGGCCGCGGGCCGCGCCCACTCGGAGCGGCGGCCATGGCCCGGAGCCACTGAGTAACTTAACTCAACCTAACTTAGGCTGAGGAACTTGGAACTAGCGAACTTTTGTGCTGCAGGCATGACTTCGCAGACTGATGACTTCGCCCCCGGCCCGGGCACGGCGGGGCTGCGGCCCCCCCGGGCCGAAGACTCTCACGGCCGGCGGCGTGATCACTCGGCCTCATGCCCGCCCTCTTCCCCGCTCAGTCTTAAAAGTTAAGTAAACCAGGTACTTGGCCAGGTGTCCTCAGCATGGACAGGCTCTTGCGGACCATCCAGGCGCATGGCGGCGGCGGCGGCGGCGACGCTCCGACAGTGGACACGTCAGAGCAGATCTACATCTCTAGTCTTGCGCTCCTCAAGATGCTCAAGCATGGTAGGGCGGGAGTGCCCATGGAGGTTATGGGGCTGATGCTTGGCGACTTCGTTGATGACTACACCGTACGGGTTTGCGACGTGTTTGCCATGCCTCAGAGCGGTACAGGAGTCAGTGTAGAGGCCGTTGATCCTGTCTTCCAGACAAAGATGCTTGACATGTTGAAGCAAACTGGCCGCCCTGAGATGGTTGTTGGGTGGTACCACTCTCATCCAGGGTTCGGTTGTTGGTTGTCAGGTACATCAAACATTTCCTGAACGCGAATGATGGACTAAGTTTGAAAACAGGTGTTGACGTGAATACGCAGCAGAGTTTTGAAGCTCTGAACCAGAGGGCCGTTGCTGTTGTCGTTGATCCTCTGCAATCAGTGAAAGGAAAGGTGGTGATCGACGCGTTCCGTTCCATCAACGCACAGATGGTGATGTTGGGTCAAGAGCCGCGTCAAACAACATCCATCATTGGCCATTTGAACAAACCCTCCATCCAGGCGCTCATTCATGGCTTGAACAGACATTATTACTCCATCGCGATCAGCTACAGAAAAAGTGAGTTAGAAGGAAAGATGCTCATGAATCTGCACAAGAAGGGATGGACCGAGGGTTTGAAGACCTCAGACTTCAAGGAGCATGACAAGAGGAATGAGGATACTGTCAAGAGGATGCTCGAGCTCGCTAAGGCCTACAACAAAGCTGTGCAAGAGGAGGATCAGAAGTCTGCGGAGAAATACCAGATTGACCAGGTATGCCACCAAGAAATTCCTCGGCAGCGAGATCTGTTGATCACTCTTACACTGTGATTCTAGGTGGGAAAGCTTGATGCAAAGAAGCATCTTGAACAGGAGATTGAAACGGTAAGATTGAACTTTGAAAAGGAGATTCGATGACATCTTTCCCAGGTTATGTCAGACAACATCATTCAATGCTTGGGTACCATGTTAGATACTGTTGTTTTCTAAAGAGAATCCCCTTGTGCATAGCAGAAAATTTTTAGAACAGAGAACAAATTGTTAAAGCGAAACTATACATGCAAGACCAAGGATCAAGCGAGCAGTTATGGCTTTCTCACTTCTACAGGTCAGGCAGCTTGAATCGAGCTCCAATGGCTAGATGGTCGGAGCCCCATGTGGCGTCAGGGATCGGAGGAAAGTTCGCACTGCATGCCATCAGTCATCAGCCTCTCGTCAGGTTCTCAATGTTGTCACCTGTCGCTCTCTGTGTATGGCATCTCAAGGATTGACTGCACTTGTACGTCCTGAGTGCACCATATGTGGTCGATACAACCTGCACATTCAACCTAAGCTCCATGTCCTGGCCTATGCGACCGTCGCACCGGCAAAGAATCCGGTCTTGGTCGTGTACTTGGGCAGCTCCCGCCCTCCAGCTGTGTAGGCATTTTGCAATGTCGGGAGATTGTTTGCCTGTGAATGGTGTCAGGGTTGTGAGAGGTAAGGAAAGATTCTTACAATGCTCGGCATATCCACCGACGAGCCAAAGGACGAAGGATGCTCGGGGTGTGAAGCATCGACGGAGCCCTTGGCCATGAGTCTCCATACAGCGCTGAATTCTTCTTGATTTTCTGTTTGCAAGAGAAATATTCAATCATATCGCATCTCACCAAGAAGTGAAGAGAATGAATGGGACGGAGATAGGGAATCGAAGGTGGTGAAGGAAATGGAGGGGGTTGCAAGGGAAGGGAAGGCGGAGTGACTAGCGGTGGAGAAGAGCCAGGAGGATGTTTGCAGATCGAGAGGGAAGGTATCCACCTTGGCTCAGGTTCCTCAAGAACTCAGTCTGGAGGTGCCGAACGCTGTTGAAGTCCCCGGACAGAATGAGAGGAGTCTTCTGCTCGCCGTGCTGGTCCTGGACCTCCTTCATGAAGGCAGAGAAGGACGAGCAGGCAAGAGCACATTGAATGAGCTTGATGTCTGGTCTCTGTGGATCCCAGAACAGGTGGACGTTGGCTATCCCCAGCCTTCGGACAGCTCCCTGTCCTTCCTTGCCCTTCAGCTCGAAGCAGGTGAAAACAGCAGTGTCCGCCTTCCCTCGAACGTCGCTTGCGAGCGACATACTCAGCGAATCGACAGGAGGAACCAACCTTGTCTTCCCCCGTTGTCTCCTCCTCGCCCTCCTCGTCAAGGACTTTGTGGATTCATCCCCTTCAGTCTCTCCCGAGAGCTCGGAGCTCTGACCGTTCGACACTGCTTCTTGACTGTCAAGAACGTCACATAGGGTGGATAATTTGCTTCTTAGCAACACTCTCTCACACTTGAGCAGCTTCAGGACTGAGCTCCGAAAGAAAGTCGCAGTCCCCAGACATGCATGCGAGCCTGTGCCGAGCAAGTCCGGACGCAGGATGGGCCGTGGCTTCCGTTTCACAACCCTCTTTCCGTTGCTCATGACCTCTCCCACCGGAAGTTTTTTGGGGGTGTAAACGCCGCTGTCAAGGCCCAACTCCTTGAGGAAGGGAGTGAAGTCGTGCTGGAAAGTGTCTGGTGTGATCTCTTGCAGACAGAGAATGTCTGGGTTGTAGCGCTCGATCTCCTCTAGCAGCTGCTTCTTCCTGTAAGGCCACTTCCTGTGTCTCAAGCTAGCGTAATTGTGCTTCTCAGTGAGAGCTTGCTTCGGGCCCAGCACATTATAGCTCAACAGCGACAAACAGTCCTTGTCATCAGATGAGCTGCCCAACGGAACAAACTGTCTGTGATGTACTTGACTTCCCTCTACCTCTCGACGGTGAGCAACGCAACGAACCACCAGGGCGTGAGAGAGTCGTATATGCTTGCGAGCGTTGCAGCATGTTGCTGAAGATCTTGAGTGTGAAAGGGATGGCAGTCTCGAGGGCGAAAGTGAGAACGCAGAGCTCAGAGCGATTCCTTGGACAGCCAGCACGACAGCAATCGCCCTAATCCAAGTCAATGAAGATCCCTGCCTTCTGGTCATCAGAAGCTGGGGGACCGAGCTGCTTGGTTCGTCTCTTTGTTCTATCATCTCTCCCTCTCTCCTCCTCCTCCTCTCCTCTCCTCCTCCTCCTCCTCTCCTCTCACACACCCCTCCCTGCAATCCGCCCTTTTCCAAGCCATGCGGCCCCCCGACAACCTGGTGTACAACCCCCCGGTTAGCTCGAAAAGGAACGGACAATGGAAGGTAGGGGTAGGGGTGGTTTCCCAGGGTTTCGCATCATGGGCTGCCGGCTCGCCATGGTAACCATGGCAGTCCTGGTCGTCATGCTGCAACTGCAGCCCTCACAGTCGATGGACGTGCAGGTGAAATGCTCGATGAACCTCCTTCCCTCGTCTTCCTCCTTGCCTCGTCCCTCCCTCCCTCCCTCCCTCCCTCCCTCCCACTCCCTCCCTCGTCTTCCGCTCCCTCCCTCCCCTGCCCTCTCTCTCTCTCTGTCTGCCGCTGCTCTAGCATCTGCTGAATCTGTGCTCTTAGTGGATACCTGCGGACGCTGACGGGCCTCTTCCTATGTCCTCCGACTATCGTCAGAAACTAGCTGAGCTATGCAAGCACATCATGCCAAAGGGGGGTGTAGGCGAAGCTGAATTCTCTCCTGACGTCCCCAAGGAAAAGCAGAAGGCAAAGACCCTTATGCTCCCTCGTGCTCTCCTGCTGACCTATCCTCCTCCTCCCTGCTGCTGATGCTCGTGGGACATGATTTTTGCGTTCTCCTGCTCATGATCCTCCTCTTCGCCCCCCCCCCCCCCCCCCCCCCTACATGTTCTTCCTCCTGCTGCTCTTCTCTTCACATTTCCTCCTGCTCCGCCATCACGAACTCATCAAATTCTCAGGTGATTCTCAAACTCTGCAAGAAGCTCAGGACCAGCCAACGGGCTTCGGATCGAACACACGACGAGCCTGCTTCTATCTTCTGGCTCCTCCTCCTCGTGGCCGGCATCGGCTTCTTGGGCTACCAGAGGGCAGCGCCTGGCTCGCCGCTGCAGTCATATCGTGAGTTCATGAGGGAGGGAGGGAGGGAGGGAGCAGCGCTGACTGAGTAGCAAGGGTCGAAGAAGTTGTTGGGCAAGGGGAAGAAGTTGGATCAGGGGAGTATGAGCAGCGAGGAGGCACAGAAGGCAAGAGAGGCAAGGTTTGACACGCTGTGCTGTTTGCTGTTGCTGCCTTATCACACGCTCCTGCAAGGTTGCAAAGGTTCGAGAAGAAAGATAACAACACACCGATCGTAGATTGACAATGATGAGGATGACGACGACGACGACGACGACGACGACGACGACGACAACTAAGATGAGATGAAGATGGCGAGAAAGATGATGATGATGATGATGATGATGATGATGATGATAAGTTCAGTTAAGAAGTGTTGTCCGGTGGCAGCAGACAGGTGCATCGACCATGGTCAGTGAAATAGTTTCGATTCATTGAAACAGTTTGCATGTACAACGACGATCTCCTCTTTCTCTTGTACAGTTGTCTCGTGTCAACTTGACTAGCTTGTTAAACTCGCAGCTGGCTCAGGTCAAGATGCAACGGATTATTTGACTGGCGTCCTGGATTCTGGAGTGCCCGACGTGTCAAAGTCCTCTGAGTGAAAGGCAAGTTACCTCGGTCATCCCCGCTAGTCTCAGCGCCGGCATCGCGTGTACGGGCCTGGCGAGGTGAGAGAAGTTCTCGTGTTCGAGAAGATGCTCCCTGTTGGTGGGGGATGAGGACGAGGAGGAGCAGGAGAAGGGGCAGGAGCAGGAGCAGGAGCAGGAGCAGGAGGTAGAGTAGGAGGAGGAGGAGGGGAATGAGACGATTAGGTAGGCAAGCCAACAACGATGAAGAACGGCAGAAGGAGCAGGACGAGGAGAAGGAGAAGACGCAGAAGGAGCAAAACCTCAGGAGCAGGAGCAGGAGCAGGAGCAGGAGCAGGAGCAGGAGCAGGGGCAGGGGCAGGGGCAGGGGCAGGGGCAGGGGCAGGAGCATGAGGGACGGCTGACCTCGATATATGGCTGGCGATGTTGTGGCTCTCGGGGCCCAAGGACGACACAACTTCGTTCAAGTTAGGAGGAGAGGAGAAGAGAGGAGAAGAAGGGAAGAGAGTGAGGTGAGCTCTTC